GAAGCGGGGCAGTTTGATACAGGGGGCAAATTCATACACCTACTTTATCTCCATACCTTCATAGCTCACTAGTTGGGTATAACCGTTGTGGTTCCTCAGGTCACAAAGTGGTTCCATAGCTGTTGACAAAAAAAATAAGCGACACAAATACGAGTAGGTACCACTGCAGTTTTGTTCACTTTACAGGATCTATGTCTAAGTTAGTATTTTCAATAACTAGACTTGCATGTTACTTTGAGGCAATATATCAAGATTTTTTTAAATAAATGTTTTTTTCTAAATTGGCCGGTGGGGTACTTTTATACACTAGTAAGTGGGGCAGTTCAGTACCTACGTATCAAAGTGCCCCTATTAGTTATTATGTGCGGAAAATGTAAAACTATTTTAACAAGTTACTATTTACATACAAACCTAAAACTAACAAAAATCAAATTAATTATGAAGTCATTAAATTAAAATAATGTACGAATCTAATTAGTTATAACTTATAGATTTACTAGTATAGTATTGTATTATCTGTGCTTATACAGAGTTATCATGTCTTGGTGCGAGAGAAGCGCAACGGCTGATAAAATCGAGCTGTAAATATACTACTTATTATACATACTCCGTGCAGCAAAAGCAACAAAATGACCTTGACAAGATACCAGTGTTTGTCTGACTGTGAGCCGCGCCGCCGGCCGGCAACGAAAACCGGATTATTCGCTTCATTTCCATAAACCAGTCTCTAAACGTGCGTAAACAACTTTTAGACAGCATTTGTATTCCTTCTACAATACCTATAACACATATTTTCTGTGTTATTTATAAAATAACCCGTAAAAATGAAATCGTTTATCGAATATTCGTCTGAAACTGATTTTCCAATTGAAAATTTACCTTATGGCGTGTTTACTTCGTCTCAAAATGTAAGTACTGCTTTAAAATTATCGTAAAGCACTTGCCTATTCTGCCCTCCTTATCAAAACTAACTAAATCGACATTTTAGCAAAATTGAGTTGTTAAAATATTTGGCATCAGTAAAACAAGATCTACAACCGCTTCAAATCGGTTTTTTAATATCTTATTTAGTTTCAGTTTAATTGTACAAAATCAGTTTAAATGAAATAATCGTAACTTATAGGTATTTTTTTAGGTGACAATAAAACTAGTTGCCTATTTCTAAAGTTACCGCAAATGTACAAGGAGGGCAGTATTATTCCTCTATCACTATGTAGGTACTCACCTTCATAAATTCCAATGTTTACAACTTAATCCTGAGAACTTTAAGAGTACTTAACACCAGTTATCACTGTAGATATACTATAATGTAACTTTATATTTATCTGCTTTATAATGTTATTGTTTGCATAGTAAGTATATTTCTATATGTTTTAGGCACAAAAACACATAGGTGTGGCAATTGGCGACCTAATTTTGGATCTCAATGTGATATCTCACTTATTCAATGGACCTCTTTTAAAAGACAAACAACTTGTATTCAAGGTATGGTAATTAATTTAATTTTACATTTATTCTATTTCAGTGAGAACTAGTTTTTTTATGCTAATTCTTACTAAATACTTACATACAATGAACGAAATGTTTATTTCTTGTTTAGAAAATTACTTTTATTTATCAAGTTGTGAAACTTTCGTATTTTGTTCAATGTATACTGATCGCTCGATCACGGCGACTTCAAAATATAGGGCAATGTTCACACAAATGTTTCTTAGAGGATTATTTATAAAATACTAACAACCTCACAGGCCCATATTACTAACAATATAATGAACAATTTTGTCCCATGGCTTTTAATATTTCATCAGATTTTACTTTCGTACAAAGATAAAAATTTAAGTAGATCGTTCTAAATGGCGATAAGAAATAAAAGAAAGAAATACCAATAGCGTAAACAATATAATAAATATCGTAATAGCGTAAATATAAATCAGATTCCAAACGCAGAAGCGGGAGTAGTCATCGACGGGGAGGACGTTTGCACCTTTCTGCTACCAATATACCAACTTACTACCAATGTGTCAGATAGTACAGCAAAATCTTATAAGTTTATTTTTGGTAAATTTATCATGTTTTGAAAAATGTTACAGAACAAAGGTTGTTGTTGATGATAGTAATATAGTCCTGGGAGGTTATTAGATTCACGCCATTACATCAAGCTACACATTGACGTATCTTGTTCCGTTGCACTAGAGGCGATTTTCAAACAAAAATGTGTAGTCTGATATGCCGTTGTTCGTACAAATAACCCTGTACATTACACTGTAATTCATTCAAACATTAAGTCAGGTGTGGGATATGCATCGAGTATATAACCAGAAATAAAGGCGAAATGTCATTTAATTTGTTTGAATACTATTCTGCAAAATCATTACGGTGACAACTACGCTCCGATTGGCCAGCCCGAATTAGAAACAATTGACGGGTGTCGTCAATTGTTTCACTTCAAATCGACCACTTTGACTTGAGCTTTACTATAATGGACCATAATTGAAAGATAACATATTTAATTTTGCTGTTTCCCACACCACCGAATGTAACAGCCCCCAATTGTTAGATATTATTATCTTTATTACAATAAAATACTTTTTATTCTTGAATATACGGAGACACACAGGTCAGTTGTTGGCGCTGTACTATTTCAGCTTTCTAATTTTTTATTTCAGTGCAAACAAGAGTTGATATTTAAAAGTGATACAAGGCCCATTTGCCTGATGAGTTGTCAGGGATGGATGGCCCTTATTTCGTCTCTGTTTCTGGTTATAACTCGATGGGGATATGTAACAATTTCTCTGTCCTCTAAATTGACTTGCCCTAATGTTTTTACTATGATTATCCATGACTCTTTGCAGGAGGAGACATTGAATTATTTCATGGGGCTCACAAAACCTCACTGGATCGAAGCAAGGAACACCATTCAAAACCTTTTAGATGTCTCCAACACCACACTGCAAAATGATAAACATCTTAGGGACGGGTAAATTATAGTCTTTGTTAACTTGTCACATAGTCTTTATACTCTAGCCAAATTCGACATAGACTGTTTAATAACCAAAGCATGGCATAGGAAGAGAACATTTTTTGTCAATGCTCATTATTTAGGGTAATTCTGCCCACGGTCTGCTCGCGTAATTAGAATCTAAATAGATAAGTAGGTGATTGGGTTATGTACAAGTAATAAAATAAAAATTCATTAAAAAACTTACAAAATAGAGTTTTTCGATAACACAGACTATAAATAATATTAATAAATAAGATGACCTTCATTTAAAAAAAACGACGTAATAGTTATTAGAAGAATGTATAATTAATATTTTTAATTTTGATACTATCTTAACTTATATTAATAGGTACTTTAATTATTTAAATGACTTATTTTACTTAATTTAACAATCATTTGTTATAGTATTACATTCTTAGAATAATAACGCATAGAAACCTAGCCCGCACACGCTAAGTGAGGCAAATTGAAGCGCTCCCAAAGGGCCTACACGAGCGGGCGGACCTTCCGTGCTCAAGGTCAACTTGCGAACAGCTCCAAAATTTTAGCTAAAAATGACGAAATGTGCGGTAACTGACTGTAAAAATACGTCAGACAAACATAAAATAGATACTAACATCATATTCCACAAGGAAGTAACGCGTTTCAACTTGTATTTTTATATAAATATTCACTAAAACCGAAAATTAACCTACTACTAAAACTAGCCTACATGAATTTGATTTTTGCGTCACTTGTGACAGTTCGTTTGATATGAAACTATCATTCTATGCGTTATTATTCTAAGATTAAATTATTATTATCTTTTTTTTCTTTCAAACATTGCAGTGCCCTGCAGGGTTGCGTGGCTGTACTTTATATTATTTTAAGAACCTTTATATTACTTACGTATAATGCACTGAATAAATGAATATGAAATGTGAATAATACTGACCTGGCCAAATATTTATAACTTTGCAAAGTAAGTACTTAGGTATTACGTATGGTTTAGGAATAAAATTTTTGATGCCTATTAATATTTACTACTAGATGATTTTATTTTATATGAAATTATTCCATATCCCCCCCCCAGCATCAATTTTCGACTCTGTACTTCAGGGTTTCTTTACTTTTTTCTAGTCATGGACCCTTCTCAAAATGTCAAAGATGTCACGGACCCTTTCCGAAAAGAAAAAAAAACTAGGCTATGCTTTTGCTGGCATAAATTGTTTGCAATTAAACTGTACTTAATTACATATGAATAGTTAGTGTGACGGTTGCTGTTCCATTATATTAGGTAGGCTCGCCGCAGACACCCGACGTTCATTACACGGACCCCTTAGGGGTCCGTGGACCACAGTTTACGAGTAAGACCCTGCTGTACTTGAATTACTACTCAAACTAGAAATGTTTGCAATCTCTCCCTTCAAAAAATGTCATTAGTTTTTATAAATAATTTACTACTGGTATTTGTTGTTGGTTTCAAATCATTTACCGAGGATAGAATTAACAATTTTTGTGCAAAGGACATAGGTTCGACTTTTCCTTGCTATCTTCGAGTACTATGCTGAATTTACGTAAGCGATTGATGTATTAAAGGAGCTTACGCCGCACTTGATATTCATTAATGTAGTACGAAAATGAACCTTGTGGATCGACAAATATTGAAAAGGAATCTTGGATTTTCAGAGCGTTCATCAAACAGAGTGCGGCTCAAATGCACGTGCCAGCTAACATTGGCGACTACACGGACTTCTATTCGTCTATCCACCACGCCACCAACGTCGGCATCATGTTTAGGAGCAAGGAAAACGCCCTCATGCCTAACTGGTACGTTTGACTAAATAATTTATTATGACTAATAATTTATTATATTATTTATTTATAACATTTAGTTTCTCAAATCAAGAAATACAAATTATCTATTAAAGGTATAAAAAATGCGAAAAAAGTCGTCAGGATGAGAAAATTAGATGTTCTATGCTATTTGAGATAATGATGTCGATGGTGTGATCGTTAGTAATTCCTAATTTAAACTAATTTCAGAAAATTAAAATTAACATAAAACGACATTTATTTCCTCCACAAAACATAGGAAGCACAATACTTAAAAACTTATAGAAAATACAATTGAATTATGTGGACAAAAAGGTTAAAGACTCAGCATTGCTGATTGTCAGTCTTCATCTGTAGCTAGCTGTATACATATAGCTAGATGTTTACTATTTAAGTTCATTGCATCTTTATTTTTTTTTTTATATATCTTCATTACTTTTTTTAAACTATGAATATATTATTTTAGTTTAAAATTGCCAATTAAGGCGACGCCTTTAAATATGTTTAACCTACTTCTTAGGCGATTAACACACTGCACCGCGCCCCGCGTCGGAGCGCGCGACGCGGAATCACGCACGCGGTGACGGAGATGCAGATCTGCGTAAATGCGCGGTTTAATCTGAGCAGGGGCAGCGGTCTAGCGGCCCCGAGTCTCTTAGGGTCGTATTCCAGAACTCTACTCAATACTCAAGTCAGGACTTGAGTATTGCAATGAGCACTGAAAATCATACTCAAGTCCTTGCCATTAGGGTCGTATTTCCAGTGCTTGAAATCATACTCAAGTCTGCTCAAATCCTGACTGGAGCATTGAGTACAGTTCTGGAATACGACCCTTAGGGTCGTATTCTAGAACTCTATTCAATGCTCAAGTCAGGATTGCACTGGCAACACAAGCACTGGAAATACGACCCTAATGGCAGAAACTTGAGTATGATTTCTAGTGCTTTGAATCATACTCAAGTCCCGACTTAAGCCTTGAGTAGAGTTCTAGAATACGACCCTCAAAGTACTCGCTTCGCAGTTGATCGCCGTAGTGATTGTACATGTAGCTGAGATCCTTCTTTGACAAGTATGGTTAATAATACAGAACTCATTCAAGACGCTGCAGTTATACTGTCTATGTTGTTAACTCAAATAAAAAGACACCGAAGATATTGGATACATCCCTTTTTACGAACCAGATCGATAAATATATATACGAGTAGGATAGTTTCAAGTTCATTACAAAGATTTAAGATAATATGAAGATAAATTTGGTCGATTTTCAATAGCAAATAAAATTTATCGACGTCGAGATCTATTGTGGAAAACTGAACATGTCCTTAAGCTTAAAAATATGCGCGGTAGTGCGGAGCGCAGTGTGCCATACCCTTTTATTTTTTTTTTGACGGGGGGGGGAATCTCTATGGATACCCCCGAGCCAAGGGAGACTCAGGGGTTATGTGGGGACTCTCCCTCCAGGCTGGAGGGCCTACCCCACTAAAACCCCCCCGGGTTTCCCTCTCGCCGGTTGAGTCGGCGCCGTAGGATCGGTGAACATTCACCACGACGCCGCCCGGCCGCCCTAGCTTACGCCAGGGCGCCCGCGCCAACGGAGGGGCGAGTCGGTTGTCCTCCGACCCGCCCCCCAGACGAGTGAGGCCGTGCAATGCAGGCTCCGGAGTCCCTGTCCAGAGCCCGCTGGTCTTACTAGGGGATCAGGCGAGCAGCGAACTGCCTTCGCTTTCTCCCCGTACGTCTGCGCCGGAGGTGTGCTATACCCTGCGGTAAAACCATAGATATAGAAAAAAGGGGAGATATGTAATGACGCTATGTAAGATCGGGTACCGATGTCGCCACTTTTTAGCTTGTGTGCAATTCAGATTTTACGCTCTATTATATACTACTATAACTTAAAGATTTTCATTGGGTAGGGCTTAAAACGTGAAAACGACGTAACACAATTTTAAAATTTAACAAATTTAAACTTACAGTCAGTTGAGTAAGAGTTATATTGCAATATTTCAGTATTTTTTTCATCCTGGTTCAACCAATCACCATCAGGTGGCGTTTTAGTAAAAATGCTACTAGTATATAATAGCTAACTATTACACGTTAGATGGCGTTGAAACTCATTTTTCGTTGCACTAAGAACTCACGGAGCAGTTTTCAGCTGCATCTGCCGCGGGACCGCGGCACCTGTAGAATGTAATAGTTCAGTATGTAAAATTAGTAGCACATTTCACGGCGCGTTTTACGCCTGTAGTGGTGACGGTTGCTCGCGGTTGCCGCGGCGGGGTACTAGTAGAACCGCACTGGACACGGTCACCTGCGCGCTTGGCGGCCGTCGTCGTCGCCCGCGTACTTTGGCGGTCGGTTTAGGCGCAATGTGGCGCAGGCGCACGCGGGGTGAGTTCTCTATTAACCGCGTGACTGGCGATTAACTCCCACTAACTTCGCGGTCGGTTCCGCAATAGCAACGGTTTCGTGCCCGCAACCGCGGCGGCTACGTGCCCCCACAAACTTGCAGGGTCGTGAGTGTTGAAATAAAACCGCTGTCTAGCTGCACCGGCGGCGGGCGCGGATGGAAACCGCTCCGTGAATTGTTAACCTTATTAACCTTAAACTGACGCTACTCAACGAGGGATGTGGTCCTACCTAATCGATAGTTAGAAACCATGTGGCTGTTTTTGATATTAAAAAATATTCAATTTTTCATGCTATGTACACTGGTACTAGTGTATTATTAAATTAATATAAATTATTATTATTTTCTTAATGGCGGCCACTAGGCTTGGGCCAGTGTCAGTTTTATAAGAATAATATAAACAATATGGGGATCGTCGCCAGGGTCAGTTTTCCATTATACGTTACCACGGGTTGGTGAAGCTGACACTGTCAAGAGTAAACTCGAACCATCAACTAATTTAATTAATTAAATTATGTTTTAAATTTTTATTGAATTTTATTCAATATTTTTTGTGAAATTAGTCCACTAGTTTGTTATAATTATTAATAAATTCCTATAGAAAATAGAAAAAATAGAAAAAAATCCTTTGATCCGGACGGATTCGAACCGACGTCTTCTAGCATACCGTGTCAGACGCTATACCAACTAAGCCACGGAACGAACCAGCGGACCTCACGAATTTTTCTATGTGCTTGTTGTCATGTCTTTGTATGTGGTTTTTCAACGACTTTTTAGTTGTAGTGCCGTAGTAGTAGTAGATGCGGTGTGAAAACACGATTCCTAAATATTTTCACGATAGAAAAACAATTTTACAAGAAAACCGCTGTATTCACATCAATAGGTACCTTATCGAATACTTCATTTTTTTAATCCGAGCTAAGGTAGCATCTACTCCGAATAGCTTATATTGTCACATTGTGCGTTATGAAGAGACCGACTGACATAATAAGCCAGAATTACTTTGACTGCTCAAACATTGACTTATAATTCTAGGGTCGTTACTTCTCAAATTTCATTTTCCATCCCAGAATTAGAGGATGGAAAAGGTCCCAGTGAAACATTGTTATTGGTACCTATTAATGTCTTATAAGAATATGATGATAAGGAAGTATGTATAATTTTTAGGAAGTACATTCCAGTTGGATATCACGGGAGATCAAGCTCGATCGTTGTATCGGGAACGCCAATTACAAGACCGTATGGACAGACGCTGCCTGTTGAAGGTAAGGTTCATATTAATAAGTCCACCTAAATTCGCACTCTGAATATTATAAGGCCACATCTGTGAAAAGAACTTCTCAGAAGATAGGCTTAAAGATTCCACGAACTAAATTGGTCTATATCTTTTTAATTTCCTTTTTTTTTATAATACCATGTGACGGAATGAACAATTCGTGTGCCTGGGTTCGAGTGTGGCCGTTAGTTTTATTAATGTAAAAGAGACTCACGGAGAGACACTCACATTTAAGCATTACCTTACCTATTTCTGCCGCCAAGCAGTGTAAGCAGGATATTGCGTTCCGGTTTTGAAGGGCAAGGGTGCTGGTGAAATTACAGGCACATGGGACTTTTCAACTTGTGTCTCAGGGTGATGGGCGCAGAGGCTGTGCACCTCAGATCTTTGCGATTTAAAGCTCTGAATGGCACTGCAACTGTTATGGACAGGCATGTCATTTACCACCAGGCGCATGACTTGTGCACACATCACTTAGTGTCATAAAAAAAAGATTTTTATACTTTTTGGTTTTTTTTCTGTTTCTATATTTGGTAAGCCTCCATTCGATTGTAGGTGCAGAGCCCCATTTTGGACCGTGTCGTTTAATGGACTTTGAGTTGGAGATGGCGTGCTTCGTCGGCGGGCCACCTACCAAGCTTGGGGAGAGAGTGACCGCCAAACAGGCCGAGAACCACATCTTTGGATTCGTCTTGATGAATGATTGGAGTGGTGAGACACTATGAATTATTTTTAGATATTGAATGATAGGGCAAATGACAGAACTAACATTTACTTGGTTAAATTAACTTATTTATTAAATATTTATGTTGTTATTGGTTCTTTGACCTAGGCAAAATGCCAAGGATCCAAAGACCTCTGGTTGTTACTTCTTGCAAAACGCAAAAAAACATCAATTCGATGGTTTTCTAGAATAACGTCCTATCTCAGAATGAACTAAATTCATCAGGACGATAATTTAGAAGTAACTGGAGCACATCTTACGTCAAAAACCGGCCAATCATCAGGTCCATGGTCTCACTTGTTTATTTTAACCAATAAAAAACTTGATGGTTTTTTTTTCAACAAAAATGTTGCATATTCTGAATGCTGCTGTATTTAAGAGAAATATGAACTATTTTGGTTTGAACCCCTATTCTTGAAAAGCAGCGAATCAGCTATTTAAAAGTAGTGAAACAAGTGTTGTTTTTGTTTTTAGTAATCTGGGTAATGCTACTACTGAATAAACTGTATTGCTGTGATACTCAGTAACGCCGTCTATATTTCAAAGTTTAATCCACAAGTTTAATCCACATTTTCATGTCTATACTGCAGAGGTTGCATAAATATTATATTTTTCAGCACGAGACATCCAAAAATGGGAATACGTGCCCCTAGGTCCATTCACAGCAAAGAACTTGGGCACCAGCATATCTCCCTGGATAGTGACCATAGAGGCATTGCGACCGTACGCCATTGACAACTATCCGCAGGACCCAGAGCCGTTTGAGTACTTGAAACATGATGATAAGTTCAATTTTGATATTAAATTGGAAGTTGATCTTAAGGGTAAGTTTGTTAAAAAGTACCTAATTGAAAGTGTTCGATCTATTGGGTAACCTATCACAAACTCGAATTTTTTTCCCGAAATAACGTTTGTTCGTATTTTCATTACACCGAAAACCGAATTATAACGAAGCCGTTGTTCTTTCAGGGTATGTTGGATGTTTATCGCCAAGACACGATCAGTTTCGGTTAGGTTAGGTTAAGTTAGGTTTAAAAGAAAAAACATTTTCCTCTCAAAATTACTTTCGAGGTTTTTTTTTTATTTTTTTTTATTTATTTTTTTTTATACTTGACAGGCAAATGACTCCACTTATGGTTATGAAAATTCGAGCAATTGTTATTTCTGGAAAATTTCATTTCGGATTACTGATAGATAACCGATCTATTGCTACTTCTTTGGTAATATCACGTAATATTCAAATGATGAAAAGTGATTTTTTCTTATTCATATTACATGACATTATTTATAATGTAATTAGTTAGTCTTTCTTCATAATTTATACAAAATATTTTTTTAAGAAACTAAATTTTTTTATAATTATATTCTTTCTTTTTCAGCAAACAATTCACCCGTATCGACAACCATTAGCCGTTCAAACTACAAGTTCATGTACTGGACGGTGAAACAACAACTAGCTCAGCAGACCATTACTGGATGCAACTTACGCCCTGGCGATTTACTCGGCTCTGGCACCATTAGTGGCGATGTCAGTTGTACATAATTACATTACATTCTTATAGTTATTAAAACATCTATACTACTAGTCAAAATAACACATTCAAAATATCTGTGCGTTTCGTAAGGTGAAAAACAGCCTGGTGGCTTTTAATATTATGTCTTTCCTATTCAGTTGCCATTTAACAGTTTTTTCGTCAAAAGTTTGACATTTTATTTGGAATAACTTTCCAGAGAAAAAATTGTTTATTTACTGGCTTTAATATCCACATATAAACCATTTTGTAAAATAAAAGGGCGCCGAGAACTTTTCTTTACATCCATCCAAAACTTATTATAATAACAGTTTTGTATACATAAGAGTAAGGAAATATTTGTCTACGTATTAAAAGGTACTTCTAAAGTTTCAAAGTATAAGTTTATTTTAAAAAAACCAGCCCAAGACCGGCTAGAAGGCCTAAAAACTACTCCGTGCGCACTGTACATATAGCAAGGATTGCTCAAAATTGTACTACATGGACCACTAGGGAATGGAATAGTACTTAAAGTGTTACTCGAAATATTCATAGGTTTTTTTTTATATTACAATACCTACAACTTTTATGAGTCATTAAACGTTGTTAGAACTCGAGTACTAGGCTTGAGGATACGGCAACCACTCTGTAGCATGAATTAATGTATTTAATTAAGTTAATTAATGAATTAATGTTTTGCTCTTTTTCCGCGACGATGTCTTTCTACGTAGAACCGGAAAAGGACATACGGTGCCCACTTTTGAGCTGGCGATCATGGACGTACTCATGAAAACAAACAAATTTAACAGAAATATATTTTACAGTACCAAAAATTAATTTTGAGAGCTTATTCTATGGAGAACGAAAATTTTTGTTCTTAAATCAATTTTGCATTTATCTGAGATACTGTGCTATTTTTTTATAAATAATAAACCATTTATTTTAGATATTCATATAGATCTACCGATTATGCATCTTATTACAAATTTCATTGCATTTTAATTCTTACGTTTCAACGCATTTCTTGTTTTTCCCTAGACATCTGACTCCTATGGCAGCATGCTCGAACTTTCGTGGAAGGGGACGAAGCCACTTCGCTTGCTCAACGGAGATGAACGGAAATTCTTGCAAGATGGCGACACAGTCATTCTACGCGGTATCTGCGAGGGAAAGGGTCCTAGGATCGGCTTTGGAACATGTGAAGGAAAACTATTGCCTGCTGTCCCTTTTTAAAAAACCTACTGTTTAAACTTGTATACTTTTAACACTAAACTTTGTATATTTTTATAAATTTGTAAATTTTTACTGCCATACATTATATCGAATTTCGTAAAATAAACATTTATTGAGAATAATTTAAACTTAACCAAAACGACCTTTATCTTATATCTTTCTAAAGAAAACTTAACTAGAAAGAAGTTTGCATTCTCCATCAATTCGTTCATTCACCCGTGTTCCATAAACAGCCCTTCCGTTAATAACGTTTCTGTTTCCGTTATCATTGCCGTTATTAACAGTTAGTTGTAAGTTCATAAATGGCAACATCGGAAAAAAATCCAAACGTCATTTTTATTGCTATGTCTGATTCGTTGTTTTTCTTCACGTTTTATTTTATTTTTACACTAAAAGTAATTTATTTCACGTGCATATGTAACTAGTGTGTGAACTGGAGGATAGACTGTTTAGTTAGTGATTAAAATAATTGTATAAGTACATTGAAAGTGCAAATTTTGTACACGCGTTTTCACGCATCGTTCGCCACAATGGAAAACCTGGAGAATAATAAAAACGTGTCTCTAAGTTTGATCGCTGAATATGGGGCTTCAGACTCAGATTCTGATGATACAGAAACACAATCCAACGAACATACTGGCAATGATGATTCAGATGCAGCCGAACTGAGTGAAATGGTGCTGAAGAATAACATAATAAATGCTTGCGCGCACGGCCCTTTATCTAGGCCTAAAGCTGTCCTTGCTGAAACGTCGAGGCATATGATCATAGATAACTGCGAAAGTGGCATTGTGGAGTATGAAGTGACTGAATATAGGGATGTAGACAGCGATTCCGATTCAAGTTCCTCGAGTGATTCCAGTGACAGTGATGTTGACTCCGTGAAAGATATTGAAGAGATTTCTAGCGGGTAAGTCGCTCAAATTCGTCTGGAACATTTAAACCTGCATATATCAGTAATTCTGTATAGACCAATAACAAAGACCATCAAGTTACTTGTTGGTGGAATAGAGATTTAGCATTACAATCTCGAAATCCTACGTGCAGGAAGCAACACTTTGTTAATATTAATTTTATTGCCTTAAATTTATCGTAAAAGAGAACTTTTGAATATTGTAGGTATATATTTGCAATTTTTTTTGCTTTTCGAACTGTCATGACATCATAAGCTTGTTTCTTGGAATGGCAGACATTGATATATAAGTTCACCAAGCACATGTACACAATTATGTTAAAAACTCCAAATATCAATGGTGGTCTAAAGCTGCTACCAGACAAACTTTAAAGTTGATAATTAAATGCAATTGTGTGAAGTCGAAGTCTCAACTGCATGCACTGTAGTACATCTGCTAGCAGCCTAATGCTGTGCGCTGAGTGACATGTAAAACTACACAAAGAGCATGGAGCTCGTCTGTAAATGGTATACAGTACAATTTCAACAAAGAGTATTTAACAGTTGGTATAACCTTTAGTGATGGCTTACTTTAACATTTTCTACTGGAAATCAATATAATTTTATGATACTGTTATGTGACGGATTCTTATCATAGCCATGTCATTCACTACTGGACATACGCCTACTTCTTTACATAATTGTAACAAAATTGATACAATTAGTAAAAGTAGGTATTGTACGAGGATTGAAACTAATTAACTAAATAATTGAATTAACAATTTTTGTGACCCAGTTGTTTAGTCATAACCATTTATTGTAACATTGGAGGTGTTGAAAAGAACGTGACCTATTGCATGATGGCCTTGTGGCAAGAATGTTTAAGCACTAAAATTCCAAATTTAAAACCCACCAGCACTTTTGTGGATTGTGTAGCTATTACAATATTAAATAATTACAATAGCTTTTGAAATGTGATGCAGTTATTATTGATTTATTTATTGCAATTCACATGTAGATACCCTTAGTAATTCTTTGTACGGATAACGGTACATCAGACTACACATTTTTGTTAAAAAATCGCCTCCAGTGCAACAGAACAAGATACGACAATGCGTAGCTTGATGTGCTGGCGTGTGTACATCAAACATATGAAACCCTGAAGGGCATAGCAGTTTCTGGAGACAGATTGAAGTTTTAGTCTTATATAATTCTTTACTCTAATTATGGATTTAATAATTTTATGATATGCAATAATTAATCTCAACTATTAAATAAGCAATAGTATTCACCACAAAAAAAAATTTTTTTTTCATATACAACAATGAACAAAGAAGAGACAAAGGACAGTAGTACAAACTAGATACAATATTAATTACCAATTTGTATCAGAAAAACCCCATGAGGCCATTGCAAGGATTGTTAACTATGGCTAAAAACAATATCAAGATTTTTTTGCTAGTTATTACGAGATATCTGTGGCACAGGGTTGATATTTGAAATATGTAAGCCAATGTTAAAGGATGCAAGATGTTTTTGATCAATAAATATTAAGCGACATCTCTTTGCCACTGGCAGATACTGAATTATTATTCAGGTGACTTCATTTGGGAGCTGTGCATTCCTATATTATTACAATTATTAGCTGTTCTATTGTGATCATTATGCATTACAATTCGGAGCCAAGGCCAACAGTCTCAAAGAACTGAGGGAGTCTCCTGCCTGTAACTGTTTTGATGTCCTTTAGTTGTGGCATATTATGCATAGGTAATTCATCACAATTGCCGGGATAAATATTTCTATAGCCTACATTTATCTCTCGTGAGTTTGTGTGTAATTTGTGGTTGTCTCTGTGTGTGTCTTTAGCACCTGAGATGCAGGGTTTCCCTAGTGCGGGCCTATGTTGAGTGTGTGGGTTATTATTACTATGATACAGTCAGAACTAACTAATTTCTATATACTATAACTAATTTCTATATATAGTCAGGAAAGTAAGTTAAATACGATGAAAGGTCACGTATAGTCTTGTTTGGAAGATGCGTATGAGCAAGTATGGACTTTTGTGATATAGTCTATGGTGATATGAATATGTATTAGATACCTATATATATTTGCATAGTATAGCATACCTTCAGTTTAGGGTCAGTAAGGTCATTTTTAAACACGTAATTTGTATTCACTTGGTTCAGTTTTGGAAACTAACTATACTAATTATAACTATTACAGGCCTAACTGTGTCAGTAACAGGTAATCCATTTAGAACTCTATAAATAAAAAAATTTGGTAGTTTTTGTTAATTTTTTGTAAAAAACATTTCTTTGGTAAAGACAGTACAATTTAATGATTTTAACTTTATTTAGTGTGTATACTTAATAGATAACAATTATTTGATTTTTATTTTGACAATTAGATAATTTTGATTCTTATTTAAAATTTTAGCAGCTATGACTAATCATCTCCCTCTTTTGAAAAGAACAACAAGTTATTATATACATTCTTTAGATATAAGTTATTAGAGTCATAAAAGGCATTTGGTTTTCTTTAACTTATATGACTTACTTAACTTTATTTTAAATATTTAAATTTCTTACAATATAGATAAAAAATTCAAATTAAAAAGCTACAAAAAAACTTTTTTTTAGCGATGAAACAGAAGGGGGCAAAGCCGGTAAGCCGGATGCCGTAAAAGTCCATGGGGAATTAGCTCTGGATGACTTGCCACCAATTGAAGACCTCGCTATAAGCTTGCCGGCCCAGGAGACCATCAAAATTGGAACCATTGCCAGCATAGTCGATAGACTAGGTAAGTAACTAACCAGGCTCCCAAAACGGCTAATTTCAAATAATCTCAGTTGTTTTTTTATAATATTAAGTGATAGGACGAACAAGTTGTGCACTTGATGGGAAGTTACACGCTTGTCCATAACAGTTGCAGTGTCACTCAGAGCTTTAAATCGCAAAGATCTAAGGGGCTACTACTACTATACTACTGCGCCCGTCATTCTGAGACATGAGTTGACAAGTCCCATGTGGCTGTAATTTCACCAGCACCCTTACCCTTCAAAACCGGTACGCAGCAGGGGCTCGTGTCCACGCTAAGAAAAGTCGCCGGGTCTATGCAACAATTCGTGTCGTTTCTACACACGAACTGTGTACACTGCTTCGGCGCCGGACAAGAAAAGAATCTTGTCTACCCCCGGCACGACGCGCTCTGCGTGTCGCCGGGTGTTGCTTAGCAGTCAACATATACAACAACGTAGTTCTTCTCACAGTCGGTAGTAAAACGACAGTTACCTGGAAGACTCGTAATGCACTAACACATTTTACCCTACACACGTCTGTCCGAAAGCATTCGTATCGTGTACATACTCATCATTTTCTCGTCTGCAACAGACACATGTTTTCGTAACTAGATCCGACAAAGTTCTTATCGTGTACAAGACCATGCTCATCTTTTCTGTAGCAGACACGTCGAATTTCTTAGCGTGTACACGCGCCCTTATGCTAACATTACTGCTTCGAGGCAGAAGTAGCTAAGGTGGCAGTACTTCCCTGGACGAAATCTTTCACAAGGAGCTCTACTGCTACTAACCTAAAGTGTATATAGATACAATGCCAATGGCGGGATTTTATGTTTGGTATTCTGCTAAAAGTTAAGAGATGTGGGTTGTCAGTGGCTAACCATCAAACTAACTATTCAATTGCCATTGCAATATTTTGGTATTCTGCTCTTCGATGGCGTAGTCTACTAATTATTTAACATAAAGGGAAATACGGTGAACGGAGCCATAAAGGGAATTACGTGCAGCCAGTCTACATCTGAGAAAGCATGAATGGCGGTACATAATGCTGTGTTGGTTCCAACGCTAATGTATAGGAGTGAGTGTTGGGTATGGCAGAAGAAGGATGAGAGTAGAGTGAATGCAGTTGAAATGAGATACCTCGGAAGAATATGTGGTGTGCGGCTGTGTGACAGAGTGAAGAATGCTGTGATCCGTGAAAAATGTGGTTTGAAAGAGGATGTAGTGTCAAAAATAGAAAAGGGTATGCTGAGGTGGTTTGGGCACATGGAGCGAATGAATGAATGTAGATTAACGAAAGAAATATATAAAGCTAATGTAGAAGGAATCATTGGAAGAAGACGGCCAGAAAAAACATTCTCTTATGACATTGAGATTGTTCTTAAAAAGGCTGGAGTGCATAGTGAGAACATTAGGAGGGCATGTATTAGATTGATGAATGGAATGAATGTGATGAATGTAAGTGCAGCAAGAGAAGTTTGTAAGGATCGTCCTAAGTAGCAATCGATAGTCTCTGCCAACCCCAATGGGAATTTAATGGCGTAAGTACATAAATAAATAAATTAAAAAAAAGAAAATACATTTAATTTTGTCTAAATTGCTGTTTAGAGGAGATCAAAATTAAGATATGCATATTTCCGTGGTAGTTTTAGTAAGGCAACATGGATACACTTCACTTTTTATTTTTATGGCTCCATCATTACATAGAATGATGATTTTGCCAACGTCACGATCTAAAGAAAAATTATCAGAAAACAAAAAAAAAAATACATGTGAGTTCTATTATGACATTAACTGGTGTTGATGGATTGGTCCACGGAAGTACTCAGGTGAGAATCTAAAACAAAAGACAGCACAAACATGTAATACGGATTTATAGATATATATTATTTAACTAGATGTATTTACTTAGAGTACAAATATAGGGGGGAAACACAAAAGTTAAAAGATTATTTATATTAGTGGGGCGAAGCAACATGGATTTGTCAGTAATTGAATGAATAAATACCATCAGTGCCATTGCACTGGCTCTTTATTGAGACTCAACTATCATTCCAACTTAACAGAATAACAAATACTATCATAATTATAATGACAAACATCATTTATTTCTTTTTATAAAAGTCAAAATAACATAATTTAAATTTCATCGTTAAAGAAATATGATCATCACTAATATATAAAACAACAATAAAAATTCAAATTTAAAATAGTTTTATAAATTATAATTTTGTTCCAGTTGTAGTCCGGGCGTTTCCTGAGACACCTGCAGTGGATCTGGACAGTGTTCTGTTCCTCGAAAATGGGGCGAAAGCGTTAGGAAAAGTCTTCGATGTATTCGGGCCAGTAAGAGCTTTATCTTATATTTATGACTACTTGATACATTTTTTATATCTAGTTATTGCGGTATTATTATAAAGGTGGTCACTCATTATAACTCGGTGCCAAGTATGGTATTAAAGTAATTAAGTATCCATTTCTTCAAATATGCACTCATGGCACTCAAACTCACACAAAGGCACTTGCAGGCACCTAACTTAAGTAAATACTTGAAAACATTTCCACTATATCTGGTGGAGTCGCAGCCTTGCAATCTGAACAGATTGTTACATTACAGGCATTCGCCTTCCCGGTGAAGGAGCACCCTAAAACATAGCATCAAATTTGTCATATCGTCCAATTTGTTACATAACTAAAGTCAAGGCTTATGACCTGAAAGTTAAGACTAACGTATTTCTAGAGTATGCGCTGTCCTCAAACCACGGTTTGCGTTCTGAAAAGTTTCATAGCAAAATTCTTTTTGCCAAAGAAACTTCATTCTTTGGTGCTATTAATATTTTTTATAGTTGCTACCAGAGTCGAGATTTTAGTATTTAAGTTTTTAAATTATTTTGACATTTCGATTGCAGTGATGAAAATAAAAAATGTCATCGTTTCAACTTTAATTCAGTATTCGAACTAAAGCTAAAACATTAACATGCGATCTTACGCTATTTAACATTAATTTATCATAGTTTAAAATTATAAATAATGGAAATGCCTTATCAAACATGTTATAACAAAACTACATTTCTACATACCATTTAGAGATACAAAAAAATCCCTTACGATTGAAACGACAGTGTATCATCCCCTTTGATATTCCATTCAGACGTATTAAGCTCTTTTCATCATCCTTTGTAATGTGTACAGCCAAGGAATCATATCTATGCAAGGAATGGAATTACCTGCCTGCGTCTGTGTTCCCGAGCATACACGACTTGCATATTTTTAAGGTTCGCTTGAATAGGTATCTTCTGGACGATCTTGCTCCATCGTAGATCCTGGCTAGGTAATGGTTTAGGCGAAGTCCATTTAATATTTATAAAATAAAACGAAGAGGCGGTCGCTATGTGCTCTCGAAACGAAATACTCTGACCGCCCTTGACGCTAATGCGGCTTAAATGTAATCTCATAAGATATTTATAAGATGCGGTCATCCAACCTACGTTCTATTGCGACAGCAATTTTTATGTACTCATTTAAAAGGGTAAAATAAAACCTTTAGGGGCTCAAGTAAGTTGCTTAGGTATGGACAACGGTCCTCCTTTACATTTAAAATTAATATTCGACTTTATTCCACAAATATTAAGGCAAGCGCGCAACTCGACGTCTATTTTGCTCATGCTGTGGTAAGAAACCTGTAACTATTGATTATTATGTAGTGTATTTATGAAGATATTCCTTGGTTGCGTGGAAGAAATTGCTACATAGCAATAAGATCGCCTGTTGCACATTAACTTATTATTTTTATACATAAATTACAATTCGGTGTTGCCATTTTATATTTTATTTCAATAAAAAATATTTCATTCATTCATCCATTATTTATTATAAGTTTCTAGGTAAGGAACTCACCACACTTATCGACACGGAATAGCATTAAGCCGATCAGAAAAAGCTTTATATAGAGGTAATAAGGACGAAAAGACCTTGAGCGTTTCGTGTCGGTGATCAGAGCGGTAGAGAATCGCGCAACATTCTTTTTACTTCTATTACATGGACATAAAACATTTTCAGAACAGCTCAAGCCTATTCTGTCTCGATAGATGTGGTGATTCCATAATAATCTCAGTACGGAGTATTACATTTATTTGCCAAGTTTTATTGGAATCGGTTACTGGAAAGTGCATGAATTCTATAAGAGCGGTTACAAACAGCTACTTTTAGCAGCGATGCAAACGCGCGTTCGTGAAACATTGCGACACTAGCGATTTGTACGCGACTGCATCAATATACTCGCGTATATTTAATCATTAGAAACCGACCTCAAAAGTTCGTGGAATGACATCTATTTGCCAAGTTATATTGAAATCCGGTTACCGGAAATTGCACGAAACCGGATTCATCCGCTAGTTTGCCACCCTTAGAGCGGGAATAATTTCTTCAAATTTAAATGGGAGCACAACTGAAGTACTCTCTTTCCAACAAAAAAAAATCATCAAAATCGGTTCACAAATGAGTTATCGTGTAACATACTTGACTAGTACTCCTCCTTTTTTGAAGTCGGTTAAAAATAAATGTCCGTTGTTTAGGTAACAGAGCCGCACTACTGCGTGCGATTCAACTCTCAGGACCATGTGACGGAGCGCGGTGTGCAGCCTGGCATGGAGGTCTTCATCGCACCGCGCAGCCAACATACCAACTATGTTTTCCTTTCGGAACTTATGAAGTATGTAATCTCACGCAATTCTATAACCTCGCAAATATCGCTTCGTAAAACCAAGATACACTCGAATACATAAAGTTTGACACTTGTAAGCTACAATACATTTGAATTGAAAAAGAAATTAATTTGTCACTTAAATACTTTACATTACATTCGCACAAAAATTTAATAGGCGTAGAAACGTAGATGTGGAAATATAAAATATGAATCAAACAACACCTTACATACACTCTTAAATACACAACACATATACATGTAATCATACCTACACAAAAACACGTAAACGTAGGCACACACGACTGTTTTAAATACGTGTTCCCTTTGTTATTTTTATTCATAGTATAGTTCACAATTTTTACATTAGATCTTTTCGTCGTTTTCGACCGTTAAAATTAGTAAATGGCAATAAGTTTCAAGTTCAAGTTTCAGCGTGGAAGCCTAAGGGTCGTATTCCAGAACTCTACTCAATGCTCAAGTCAGGATTTGAGTATGATTCAAAGCACTCGAAATCATACTCAAGTCCCTTCCATTAGGGTCGTATTTCCAGTGCTTGTGTTTCCAGTATAATCCTGACTTGAGCATTGAGTAGAGTTCTAGAATACGACCGTGAGACATAGATCTGTGGATCTAGTTTACAGTCCAGCCTCCTTCAAATTTTGCCACTTTAAAAAATAAGATCTGTTTTTGTGCTAAAAATTGTAACCAAAGTTTGTGGAGAGAAACAAATTTATTATTATTATATTATTAAGGTGATACTTGGGTAATTTTCCATAATTTCGGTGGAAATTTAAATATTATAGAATATTATCATGAAGTATTGTTTAACATTCCGGTGTAGTAATTTAGAGCTCCTTGTGAATGCGTTCGTCCAGGGAAGTACTGCCACCTTACCTATTTCTGCCGCCGAGCAGTAATGTCAGCATTACTGTGTTCCGGTTTTGAAGGGTAAGGGTGCTGGTGAAATTACCGGCACATGGGACTTGTCAATTTATGTCTCAGGGTGACGGGCGCAGTGGCAATGCCCCTTAGATCTTTGCGATTTAAAGCTCTGGGTGACCCTGCAATTGTTATGGGCAGGCGTGTATAGGATATTATTAAAAAAAAAACCTGATATATTATTTCACTATAATTTACTCGAAAACTCAAGTAATGAAAATTGCCACCGAAATTAAGTAGACAAAACTAACATGGAAATTACCCACTTATTCGAATTTCACCCTTAATGCAAAAGAACAAGGTATGCTTCAAACCTTGATGTGCTCAAAGTGTCAATAATAATAATATGCTATTGACATCTGGACATAACATTGCATTTTATATTATGTTGAACAAAAACCTAAGACTCGTGTCTCTTTTCTGAAAAGTAGTCCACAGTTACCTTGACTAATATTTACATAGGTGCACTGGAATGTTGGTTATCTCTGAGTCGAAAGGATGCAAACTATCTCAAGATAAAAAGTTTCCTCACTTTTGTCTTCCTGCTAAAAGTGTTGCTGTAATACTTTTTTTATCGTATAACGGACAGAAGACCAGACGAAATTCACTTACAAGATATACAGGGCGTCACATGGATATGCCACATAGAGGGAAAGTAGCTTAAATACCGTATATAGAAAATTTTACTGAAAGATGACTTAAATTTGATTTTAAAAACAATTCAAACTGCTTTCAAAGATTTTTAAATAATTGCCTGTTTGAAACAAAATCAAGTTCCTTATCCACTAGTTAAAGAGCCAACCAACATTGTCACTAAACGGAATCTAAGCTAATTTTTGTAACAAAATTATACATAGCATCAACAATTGTGTAATGTACAAACAAGATACGATATGGTAGCTGCGGGAATTCCCGAGGTTGCGCGAGAATTCTCCGGAAGACGCGCGACCTCTTTTTTTGGCTTGTATTTAGTTTTGTATACACTATTGATATAAAGAATTATGCTATGCTATAGCTATAGTTATAGTTACAAAATTACGATCCACGACAATGTAAATTGAGCCTAAGAGTAGTTACACACGGCAATTTTTGGCAGCGATGCAAACGCGGTGCTGTAGCGATGTAGTCGCTAATCGTTTACCTTTACACACAAGCGCGATTTTAAGCATGAATCACGCGCGCGACTGCATCGATACAAACGCGCGATTGCATCGTTACACTTGGGACCAATAAAGTATGAACAACTGAACAAACCTAGTATGTCACAGTATATCACAAATATAAAAATATAGTCGCGTTATATTTTAATATTAATGCAAATGGAACCAAGTACTTATGTGCAAACTTATGAATAATTTATGCAAATACTTTTGTCTGAAAATGAGACCGTAACGTGCCATTAGTAGTACTACTATTAGAATGTCACGTTTATCTCTATTATTTACTCGGAAGGTAGATTCCACTGAAAAAAATACTCTAGGGTTTGCTCCATAAAGGCTTGTTCAGATATAGGTGTTATTAGCTGCCGCTGCGAGTAGCGAAATCCGAGTTTGTACGCGGTATTCCCACTATTCCTAAACCTAAGCGGATATCCTACCGCTGTGGGTAGCGGAGTGCATTATTTATATATCAACTAATCGTTGAGGAATGAATTTGCCACTGCTCCCATATCGTGCTCCCGTTCTGCGTCCGAAACAATTTCTGTCAAATTAGTAGCGGCAGAGCACCTTGTGAAAGAGTGTTCATCCAGGGAAGTACTACCACCTTACTTATCTGCCGCCAAGCAGTAATGTGAACATTACTGAGTTCCGGTTTTGAAGGGTAATGGTGCTGGTGAAATTACAAGCACACGGGATTTGATAACTCCTTCAAATTTTGTCACTTTAAAAAATAACATCTGTTTTTGTGCTAAAAATTGTAACTTAAATGTGTGGATAGAAACAAATTTATTATTATTATATTATTAAGGTGATACTTGGGTAATTTTCCATAATTTCGGTGGAAATTTAAATATTATAGAATATTATTTAACATTCCAGTGTAGTAATTTAGTAGAGCTGCTTGTGAAAGAGTTCGTCCAGGGAAGTACTGCCACCTTACCTATTTCTGCCGCCAAGCAGTAATGTCAGCATTACTGTGTTCCGGTTTTGAAGGGCAAGGGTGCTGGTGAAATTACAGGCACATGGGACTTGTCAACTTGTCTCAGGGTGACGGGCGCAGTGGCAGTGCCCACAAGATCTTTGCGGTTTAAAGCTCTGAGTGGCACTGCAACTGTTATGAACAGGCGTGTTACTTAACTCCAGGCGCACTACTTGTTTGTCCCGTCACTTGATATTATAAAAAAGTAATGCTCGACTAAATTAAAAAGTGATGTCAAGTACGAAGCTTCATTCGCATCATACGTCTTTTAATATATTTTAGGTCTTTAAACTCTTAAAAATGTATATAAAAGGATTTTCATTTTTCCTATAATCCATTACACCGACTAACTCAGTAAATGCTGTTGGATAACGATATCGTATCCTAATCCGAATAAACGCCTAGCTCGAATGTTCTGAATAGCTCGGAAATCGCCAGTCGATTCGAGAACGATATCTAATCGAACGATTCGGTTAAAATATCGAAGAGTTCTGAATCGTTAGTAATAAGTATATAATAATAATCGATAGTATAAAGGTCCTGCAGCGGTAGTAAATAACCATTATGTCTGAATAATTCTTTAAATGCCAAAGACGTGAAGTTTGTACATCAAGGAGTATTAACAAAAAGAATATTATAAAATTGCAGAATACGAGGCTCGGACGCATCGTGGCTGAACGACGTAGAGCCTCCATCTCATCAACTCGATTACTCAGACGACGAGGAAGAACGAAGAGCGAATAGAGCTAGGAAAGAGTCCAAACAAAAACACGAAGACTCCGACGGAGAAACCTCAAAACAGAATCCCAGAAAGATGGCAGAGCCCAGACGGAACCAAAGACCTTCAGAGTCGAGCAGCAGATTTGGCAGCGGACCTAGTAGGGGACGGAATCCATTCTCAGCTGGATCTAGGAGAAATAATCCAAATTCTTTCACTAGGTTCGCAAGACCGTGGGGCAATTTCGATATGCGGACACCACCTCCCCATCCAAACGATCCAAATCAGCCCCCGTTCTCTGCGCCTCCAAATTTCCCTAGTGGACCTCCCATATTTCCACCCCCCTTTAATCCAAGTACCCCTCCCCCTTTTATGGGCAACACATTCCATTTTAGAGCGAACCCTAGAATGGGCGGTCCCATGAACATGCCACCTTTCAGACAAAATGTTCCTATATTCGGCTCTCCCTATTGCAACTCTGGGCCCCCTCAGTGGGTCAACGGGCCCCCACCCCCGCCGGGGACTTAAACGCACACGATTTCTAGTTTTTTAAGATATCTCATAATATTAGTCGATAGATAGTTGTCTAACAATACTAAAGTGTGGTTATCCAAAAACAAAATCTATATTTATATAAAATAAATTACTTATAGTATACTTTTTATATCTTTTATTTGAAAAAAAACCCTTAATATTTTCAATTCTAATTTAAAATAATTATTTATTAAAAAACCGACTTCAAAAGTTCATGGAATTATATCTATTTGCAAAGTTTTATTCTATTCTATTTCCTTAATGGCGGCCACTAGGCTTGGGCCAGTGTCAGTTTCGATTAATGTTGTCAGTTAATATTGTTCAATAACGTCAACATTTAGGTAGCAGCAAGGTATTTATTATTAGACGAGTCTCTTCGACGGAATGCTGTTGTGGAGATCATACCCGGGGTAAAAAAAAAACAATCGTGGAGAAATAACGGACCAAAGTATTACATTATATTATTAAAGGGAAAATACACATAAAGAAGGAGGGATTTAAGGATAATAGGACGTGGAATGAAGGAAGGAAAGGAGGTCATACAAGGCGAAAATCTATTTAGGATCCCTCGTCCAGACCTCATTCACACAAAGAGTTTTCTCTGACACGGATTGTATTGAGCAACACAGGGGAACAAGTGTGACCCAGTCTAAATCTACAGATCGTAGAAGTGGTTGCCTTACTAGCTTCGCGAAACTTAACAAACCATGGTTTCACTGGGATGTTATTTTGAACGTCGGCATAGTACGCGCCTTTCTCTTGGCTAGTTTGAACCCAGTGCGCATGCCAGTCCAAATCTAGAGGATCCTTAGCTAACGAAGTCAGGTCATGAGCGTAACATTTGGATAATGAGAGACAGCCTGAGCGGGTCGCCTCCTTGGCGTATTGGTCCAAAATTTTATTGAAATTGGTTACCGGAAAGTGCACGAAATTGGATTCATCCTCTCCATCATCGATAGTTTGTATTTTATTATATATTTATTACTATATATTTATATAGTAGCCACCCTTAGACGTGGAATATTTTCGAATTTAAATGGACCCAATAATAACCTCTTTCCAACAGAAAGAGAATCATCAAAATCGGTTCCCAAATAGGAGTAATTGCGTAATATACAGATGAATTAAGAACCTCCTCATTTTGAAGTCTCTTAAAAATACGGTAAGCCACACGTTCAACTTTACAAATCTAAAACTCGACTATACCATTTACGATAAGAAACGGGTCAAAAGTCAAAGTGTAAAGCAGACTGTGTTGTTCAATATACTTTCGTAGATCGGGCGTTTCCTCATGCTCCTACTGGTAGGAGCACGAGAACTAAATGTCCTTATGCTCCTATCTTGACGTCGTATCTAATAAGTATACTGAACTAGAATAAAAAAGACGTCAAAATAAAAATGTCAAAATTATTTCTTAAGAAGAAAATTACACTTGAAATCGAGATCGGGATTGTTTTAAACTTAAACACAAATGAATTTTGTGATTTCTTTATTAAATATTTCATTGTTAGAAATTAACTAACGATCGAGTTTTTATAAATGTTAAAATAATAAAAAGATCATAATAATAAAAGGATACTTCTAAAAAATACTGCTCATAGACTATGCAGAACTAAACATACAATGATATCTGCTGCCCTTAAAAAAATTGACCAAAGTCAACGAAACTGGATACAAATAATTTTGCACTCACATGATCACAACGTAAAATGATGCCACATTTCACATACAGGACAAGTCGACGATTAAAAACAATAGGCATGTCGCTACATCCTCGATTTACTTAACAAAAAACTTATTCCATACATACGTTCCATACAATAAATTATACTCGAGTATCGTTAATATAAGTAAGTATATTGCATTACGATAGGCTGAATAAACTTTAGGTTAGTAGTTAAAAGAAATAATCTTGTGATAAATGTACTCTTAACAAAGGAACAAAATGTTTTCTGAACATTTCAAATTACACAAGACACCAATAAAAAACCTTTGGTCGAAATCTTCATCAAGCTCGATATGCAGATAACTTTGATCGACTAAAACCTTGTGCAACGTGAAAAACATATACGAAACATCAAACATAACACAAACCTATGAACAATAATTTATTTTCCATTAAACTGCATGAAAAATAAAATAATGCCGAAGTCAATTAGGTTCGTAATGTATAGCCAGGGCATCTAAAAAAACTGCCCAAAATATTATATACCCATAATTAATGAACATCCACACGCTGCACAGAGCCTAAAGCACAATCACAATCTAAGGGTCGAACACCACTGTTTGGCCGTCATCAAAACTGTACGATTTTACCCAAGGTGCTGACGTAATGACGTTACATGCTTTCATTTTGTGTTAGTGTTCTAATCTTCGTGTTTTAAAATTACTTTTGTCTTTTACTAAAATATTCGTATATTACCGAGCATGTTGAAATATTTCATTAAAAATTGTAAACTAAAATAATTTCAGACAATTCTGAATCACATAATTTTGTTCAAATCAACAGAATATTAACATAAATGCGAACGGATCATTCATCTAACATTCTATAAATTACTTTCATCATTGCTGAAATTTTACGATGTAAGAGTCAACAATAGGCAATGGAGTCAACATTTTATTAATAAGAAAAATTGGATAAACATGTCTAAAACAAACAAAACCTTTAACGCTTTTGTCTTAGAGGCCGATATTTTACAGACTGTGCTGTGGAGGGCTTTTTCACATGGAAATCATACGGGACCCTCGGTGCGTCGTTTTGTGTTAAAGTCCTAATATTTTTGTATGGACTTTAGTTCTTTTTCTGAAGGTGTTTTAAAAAAAATGTTGACCCGTACATCGTTTTAGGAAACTTATACAACACAAATTTACGTAAACATAAAAACTTATCATTTAGCATGTAGGATACACGATTACAAGGGATAACTGAACTTACATTAGCTATTTTTATTATAAAAATACAGATTACTATATCAAATAATTTCAAAAAGCTGTCTGAGACTCCTTAAAAACTGCCTCTACGGGGCTACTTAATAATAAATTGTAATTTAAAAACAAACTAAATTAACCGTCCAAATCATTGAAAACGATTCCGAGCAGTCTTCGATCAAAAATACATAGTAAGATTATTTTTTTATTAGCTCTAAATAGTGATTTCAATGAAACATAAAATTAAAACTTAAATCTATGAAAAAATTACGTTTTTCTTCTACTTCTAAATTTCAAGGGTTATAATTTTGTATCGATTACATGTTAGGAACTATTCTACTGTACAGATATCGATTGAAAATAATTGATTAAAGGTTCCATAATAGCGTTACAAATACATTTTATAGACAAATATTTAATGCCGAAAATTTGATTTAATTCCGAAAATTAGATTTAAAAAAGCTTATAATAATGTATCGAGTACACTGAAGGCAAAAAAACAATACAGGGGTCTCCACTATAAAAAATAATTACCTGCCAATTTTAGCTGTTTTACAGCGCTCTATTGGCCATACAACACATAGCTGTCACACCATGGGGTTATTCTATATTGCGTATTATATACTATACTAAGATTATCAATTGCTTTTACAGGCAAAATGATTAAAGAATATAATATGTTTATTACATAATATGTTCGCTAAATAAGTAGCTTACATCGTATCACTTGATCGTGTGGTGTTGCTGAGTTAATAATATTTAGAATATTAAGTTTTAAGGCGACCTGTTCACTGGCTAACATCATGGCTGACAGAGAGGGACTTGTGAATTGTTTTTTTCATCATTTTTTCAATCGAGTATTTGTTTACGTTATTTACTTATAATCAAACTTGTTATTGTAAAAAAAGTATGTAGATTGTTTTATATTCACTTCTTGTGTCCAGTTAATGTTAGTTATTGCTTAATAGAAACAGCCGGGTGATACAGGCGTCAAAACTATCAAATAAATCATTTCTGGTTTGCCAAGACAACTGTATTTAGATTTTACCGCCTAATATGGTGATGGTGGTATGTCCGTCTATGTTGACCAACATATTGGACAGTGAATGGGCCACTTTTAATCTAAGACACTACGCGCTACAATCTAGTATTCACAGAAATTGATACAGTATTAGTCAGAGTTTTCACTTAACACAAAATAGGGTCTGGTAATATTCCAGACCGGTATTTAGATTCCTTTCTCTCATATGACACAGAAAACACGCGAGAAAGAGAAAATATTATCCCTAAACAACTATTCGCTCATTTGGTTTCTTCGGCTCTTCTTGTAATGTTACAGGAGATGGATTGAAATGGATTTTTTATTTTTATTTCAAATTTATGACGTGTTCATAAAACTTTGTGCATTTTTACAATACATATAAATTGAAAATTCCTGCCGATCTTTCTCCAAACGTGAATAAATTTTGCCAAAATTTACAATTACGTCAAAGTACCAGCAAATGTGCGTGTTATGAAAAAAAAAAATAGTACTGCTTGAGTGATGATTGCATTTGTTAATTTGCAAAAGAATTTGTCCAAAATTAAAATAATTCTCATGATAAGGTACACGTATTTTGTGGGATTAGATTACGAACGTTAAATGTAGGAATTCATTTAAAAGACTTTCGTAGTTTTGTCGCACGATGTAAACATGCAGCGTGAAATCGCCGTCAAATATCGGGTGATTAAGGGTCGTATTCTAGAACTTTACTCAATACTCAGATCAGAACTTGAGTATTGCAGTGAGCACTGAAAATCATACTCAAGTCCGTGCCATTGGGGTCGTATTTCCAGTGCTTGTGTTTCCAGTGCAATCCTGACTTGAGCATTGAGTAGAGTTCTAGAAGACGACCCTAAGAATCGTATTCCAGAACTCAACTCAATGCTCAAGTCAGGACTTGAGTATGATTTCAAGTACTGGAAATACGATCCCAATGGCAAGGACTTGAGTATGATTTCCAGTGCTTTAAATCAAACTCAAGTCCTGACTTGAGCATTGAGTTGAGTTCTGGAATACGACCCTTAATCTTACAGTGTTCCGAAACGTTTAACTGTGCACTGGTAAATCATTGAATATTTAATATTTTCATGGTTACGTTATTTAAATTAGATAGAAGAGTTGTCTTTTAAAAATATTATGTCTTTTTTTAAGCTAAGATAAGAAAATTCTATCTAAATGCCTTAGATTTTTGTATCTAAAAAAATTTAATTATAGGCGTAGCCAGTATCTGACTGTAGACAGTATCTGAACTTATAACACTGCGGTCAGACTTAGAGAATAATTAGAATAAAAATCTGAGATTTTTTTTATAATACCAAATGGAGAGACATGTTCCTTTTCCAATTTCGAAGTAACGCAGAGCATTTCTCTCTGCTACGACTCAGAAATGTATTTTTTTTATAATATCAAGTGACGGGACGAACAAGTCGTGCGGCTGGTGGTGAGCGATATGCCTATCCATAACAATTGCAATATCACTCAGAACTTTAAATCGCAAAGCTCTTAGGGTCACTGCCACTGCGCCCGTCACCCTCAGACATAAGTTGATAAGTCCCATGTGCCTGTAATTTAAATCTGAACTTCATACTCTTTTAAAAAAATTTATTAAATTAAATTATTTAATGGGGCCTCTAAATTTAGTCCAAAGAGAAAGCTAAGTGAAAACTTGAGACTAAACTACGATATAAATTGGAAAAAGGCGATATAGCTTGTGCTTACTCTACGTAACTATGAGATAACGCCTCGTTTACATCGCTTCAGTGTTAAGCAGAGTTATGTAAATCTAATGTCTAATGAATCTATTCAGTGCCTTTTTTGTACGACAAATTGCATAGCGGTCCTCGCAGTGTATATAAATATTTTACGAGGTCAATAGCGACAGTTGTTACTATCGACTGTAGGTCCACTGTTCAGTAAAATTTTGATTTACTGTGAAAAAGAAAATAAAGGTGGAATGTTCTAAAATAAGGCACTGTCCCCTTCATACTAATAGAAAGTGGAAAAAGATAGCGACAATTCCAAACTGTCAAATCAAATTAAACTGGCATGAATATACCAGCACTGTAAATGTTGTTACAGTTTACGCTATCATTGTTCTAATGTATTTATTCTACTTAACACTAAGCTAATGTGGACGAGGCATACAATTAAATTTGAACTTAATAGAATAGACAGCCGATATCTACGTTAACTAAAGGCCCGTATACACGGTCCAGTTTCATCGCGAATAAACTTGCGCAAGTCGTTCGTATTTGCTGTGTATGGGATAAGTATACCCGCGGATTGCATGGTAGACAGTTTTTCTTTATACACCACATACGTACACAAGAATGTGTAAATTGGCTTGCCCAAGTTTGCTCCCGATGACCCTCGAGTGTGTACCTGGACACACGTATACACTTCCTCAAAAATATTAAGAGTATTATAGCTTAGAAGAGTTATCATTCAGTCCTATATTTATTATATATATCAGATCAATGTTGTAGGACTTTGGCCAGAACTTCGAATTACAAAAAAAAAATACTAAAAATGCTGGACACACTAGAAATACATTTAAACTTTAAATAGCGTCCGATAATGTTGTACCGTCAATGGTTTATTAATCGCACAGTTAAAACACATGAAGCTACAAAGGTATATAACCAAAAGATAGCTTGATTAAATGTTGTTTTAGAGCGATCGAGTTTGAAGTCTATGTGTTTAGTACGCTAGCGAGATTAATAATTGTGATGTCGTGTCAATTCTGTAAATTTATATATTGTATTTACATTTAACATAATAAAATTGTTTTAAATTGAAAAAAAAAAGTGTTTTAAAGTTCCAGCCGCAAAGACGTCTACAATACTCTCGAGAAGTGTAGAATTAAAAACACTGAAGGCAACCTTAAAGTGCACGATTTCATAATACTTGCATTACCTAAATATTTTACGATAATATGTTATCAATTATCATATCCATTATGTAGTAAATATGCTGCCTCTATGTAGATTATTCGCAAAATATTATTCTATAAGTAAAGACTTGAATAATGTTCTATGCCTATTTTATATTGTATTGTTCTGTTTGTCTTTCTAACATGATACAATTTTCATAGAGACTCAGTGGTGTGACTGATATGGGGTTCATTGTAAAATACTAACCTCTCAGGACTATATTTACTAACTACATAAACAATAATTTATGTTCCATGACTTTTTACAAAATATATATTTTTTTTAATAACGCACACACTCACTATTACCCCGCACTAGGGAAATCCTGTGTGTTGCGGGTGCCATGGACACACACATAAACGACCACAAATTACACCCAAACTCACGAGAGAAATAAACGTAAGCCATACAAATAGTGTGATATTGTGATTTATTTAAAAAAAAATATTTTTGTACGAAAGTAAAATCATCAGATGAATGATTAAAACTCATGGAACAAAGTTGTAGTTTATGGTGAATATAGACCTGTGAAGTTGTTAGTAATTTAAAAATAATCCTTTACATGGTTAATAAATACAGGAAGAACTACCATGATTTAATTTGTCCACTTTGGCCATTGACTTACAAATAAATGGACGACGGGTCTAATACAAAAACCACGAAAAAAATGTCCCAAGTCAACCTATTCGAAATTTAAATTGTTATGTCATCGCAGTATCGCGCTGTCCGTAGAACAAATGAAGACTAAAGGGGAGTGTCGCGCTCTGTATACGATTTTAGCGCCTTACAAGTGCGGACACTTTTTAGCGCGGACCCGACGTCCATATAATTGTAAGTCAATGACTTTGGCATTTTAAAGATTGGAAACACGACTTCTCTTCGACGACTAATCTTACTTATTTTTAAATCCTTCCCAACGTACACATAGCTTTTTGTAACGCAACCAGGTAGGTATATTGCAATATAGTGCGTTCATTTGAAATGCTAAAGTTTGACCACCTGTGACTTTATAAATTTTCCGCCTAGAACATTATTCATAATAGAAAAAAAAATTGTGACGTAATTTGTTCATGTATATTGGGTTGTTTCTACCGATTACGAGTATCACGATGAGACTATGTAAAGCTTATGGCATAATTGTGCATGGCTGCTAGCTTTATCGTATACTTTGACATAAGTCTTTGACGCCACGTACTTTGTATGCACGAATGCACGAACAAACGTATTCGTCAATACAGCACATGTTCGTTAACGTGCACCGCTGTGGGTAGGTGGCTTAAGTGAGACTTTTGATAGTATGGATTTGTTTGTATTGATTTTCGAAGTCTCATTTCGTACAGTGGACCGTTAAGATACACACATCAAGTGTCTAAGGGATCAAGCACGTTTTGTTAATTACTGAAAATCAGGTTTTTAAATATAATTTTCTGTATCAATGGTTTTTTCGTCTATTTCATTTTCACATACAAATTGTAAAATTGACCAAAAAAAATTCATCGGTTAAAAAAAATAAATTAAAAAACCAGATTTTCGGTAATTGGCAAGAACGTGCGTGATATCTAGACACTTTTGATATATGTACTAACAATATAGCGATTTCCAAAGTGTGAATTTGGACCAAGAATTACCCCTTACCGTCATTTTGATACGCTCTTTTTTATATTGTAAGACAGTTTTCGTTCGCAAACTTACATTTTACAAGACACAAAGCGGTCGAATTGCACTAAAAAGGTATTCTTTGTCGTACAGCAAACTGTATATGGCAAAGCTAGAAGCACATGGGTTTTTCCAATAAAATAAATTAGTTTTACCACCAATCTAAATGCATTTTTTAACAGTCAATTGTTTATCAATTGTTCTTTTTTTAAGGATAAAATGTGTTCATATCATTGTAGTAGCATTTTTTGCATTTCCTTTGAAGTAAAATTCGTAAGCTTATTATATATGAAGCTTACTAAGATTGTAACAGTCTATGTTAGTTAGGCATAAGATTCATAGGAAATTGTCACTTATAGGAAGACATATAACACTTATAAAAGCGTGACAGAATATCGATAAAATGCTACCACAATAATTATTATGCCTACCCCATCCAAACCGATTCTAAAACTTTCAAAAATTCTATGTAACTTTACATAGTTTAGGGTTCCACAGTTAAAATACTGGAACCCCTCCCATCTTATCATTTTTATTACCATCTTTCTTTAAAGAAGGTTTACCGATCATCATTTTACTTACGAACAGGAAATATAGTCACTGTCCATGGGGTAGACATATACCTCCGCCTTTATGTGTTATTTTCGACCGGTCTTATAGTACAGTCGCCAACTGTAGTTATAGGCGTTATTGTGACAGAGCTTGGTGTTGAAGTTACGATTTGCAAGTTCTCCTGTACGTGTTCAATACGATCTTCCTTTTCTTCGTTATTCGGGGGTAGTTTGACAATCTGGCAATCTCCAACGGTCATTATTTGAGTTTCCATGGCAACTGGTGGTACGTTCTCTTCGGGTTCCACTCGGGAATCGTCGTCGTCGGAAGAGGAGTCTGATACGTCGATAGTTCTTTCGTGTGAAGTTTCCGTAGTCATTGATTGGTCGGCGTCAACGTTGCGATCGGGGTCTACGCTTGTCACTCCATAGTTGAATGCGAGAGGATTGTACATCATTTCTGTTAGGTAGGAAAAGTCGCCAAATGGTAGATTTGTTGCGTTGTAGTTTTCGTTGGGGCGTCCGTCTGCAATTAATTTGAGATATTTTAACGTTTTGTTACGATATCTGCATCATGTTTTAGATTGATGACCACGTGCTACGCAAGCGGCGTTCCTTTACATGCAGTGCTATAAAATGTTCTCGATCAATTTGAGACTTTCGACACTCCGGCGCATACAAAGGAACGTAGACTGTATTGCACGGTATTAATGATTAAGGCCTCTAATTATATTCAGAATTAGCAGCGACGCGTCCGCTCATACTTTCTCTTTCTCACATAACATATTTCAATATGTTGGAAAGAGCAAACACGAGCTACTACGCCGTTGCAGTTGACATAGAGTCTAAGGCCGAAAATTCGCACCTGAGGGGCGTTCAAGGTATGCGAGCACATTGTGTCTTGAGACAAACGTATGTCTGGTGTTGGATGTATCCAATACAAGATATACGTTTGTGCGCAACTTACGCGCAAACCTTGAACGCACCACCGTTCCGAATTTGCGGTCTAAGGGTAAAGATACACTCATCGATGGTTTGTTCATGCACGATTAGTATGGGATGCCGTTCACGTCTTTTAACAATGACTTTTAATGAGTGTGTCGTAACCCAAAGGGCGCCTTCAAATTAGACGCTTGTACGGGGCTACAGACCGAACCCGCCGGCCCGGGCGAGATCGTGTCGACGGCCTTGTTTCTAGAATCATGTCATAGGATTAGATTTATCGCCGGGTCGGCGGGTTTGGTCTGTAGACCCCTGTAGAAGTACTGCAATGGCGCGTCTGTAGCGCTTCAGTAATTTCTAGTTCGTGTTACGACAGTGGTGCTGCAGCTGCGCTTCTAAATATTGTATGAAAATATTCTTCTACAAGCGTCTAATCCGAAAGCGCCTTGAGAGGTAGCACAAACCGGCGTACGGGAAAGCATATTAAATTTGTCTATGTATATTTCTTGGTATTTCAATTGAAATAAGGTTTTTTTTAATAATATCAAGTGACGGGACGAACAAGTCGTGCGCCTGATGGTAAGCTACACGCCTTTCCATAACAGTTGCAGTGTCACTCAGAGCTTTAAATCGCAAAGATCTAAGGGGCACTGCCACTACGCTCGTCACCCTAAGACATAAGTTGACAAGTCCCATGTGCCTGTAATTTCACCAGCACTCTTAACCTTTCAAAACCGGAACACAGTAACGCTGACATTATTGCTTTGCGGCAGAAATAGGTAAGGTGGCAGTGCTTCCCTGGACGTACTCTTTTACAAGGAGCTCTACGGCTACCAAAATAATTTCTAGGCTTTAGGACAGACTTAGACGCAGCGCATATCTCTCTGCTGTGACCCAGAAATGTATACCATATTTCAACTGTAATAGCAAAAGCTATGCATTGATAAATTGAACGTCCTCTGCCTTACCGTCCGCCGGTTTACACTGGCCCTAAACAGGCGTTATATTGTTAATGTTATTGGTTCTTCATTATCTAATTTAGTACAACAACAAAGCCTGAACAAATCCAGTGTTAGTTTTAGCAGGAAGTAAAAATTAAGAAATGTTAATATTAAAGGTTCACTTAATCATTCGTGTTAATTACATGTGCAATATAATTGTTTTAATTTATCGTGCAGAAATGATAAGTGCTGTGATTATGTTGAATCTAGCTACGAATAGTGTTTTAGTACCAATGATGGCGTTGATTCTGTAAAAGTACATTTTGTAAATCAAAATAATAATATGAAATAATTTCATACATCGCGGGTTGTAACTAAACAAAACTTTCGCGTATCCAATTTTAACTTATATTTATGTTATTGAATATATTTAATATTTTTAACAATTTAAATTTATCTGACTTTTTTGTTTAGTGATGATATTGACTTCAAACTGCCATATGTACTTATTCCAATCCCTATTTTTTTTCCCCTATTAACATTTTTTAATCCATTTAATTACTGCATATTAACGGGTGGTAACGAAAATACAATTATATATAATTATTGTCTTATGATGTTTATAAAAATCTGTAGAACGCTGCTACAAACTTATGTTACGTCGTCTTAAAGTCTGTACAACCTCAAATAGCTTTGGTTAATTCCGCATAACAAAACAATATAGTAAAATTGGGGATATACAGTGATTACTATACGGTGTGAAAATTTTCACGAAAGAAAATAAAATACAAACTTACCTCGAAATTTTACAAGAAACCCGCTGTATTCAATAGGTACTGTACAATATACCAATGATTTTTTTTTATATCAACTGAACTAAATAGAACATGTATAGTATACGATATGTTTTTGACATGCCTTTTAATAGCATTTAATTTCAATCTACAAATGCAATAGAATCATCACCAAATGACCCTTAAAATTACATGACATAAAGAACATATACGCATGCAAATTTTGACAAGATACTAACACAACTTGCCAAATTCCGCGGCTAGAAACGGGTCCATCGCGATATCCAAACCTAAGGAAACACGCAGGATTAGCATAGCAAAATGGGGACCGTCGAACCTGTTCTCTATGTTACAAGTTGTATTTTGTATACATATATCTGCGAAGCAGGATGTCCTTTTCCAAGAATTTACAGTGTCTGCAGTCGATAGCGTTCGCATAAAATATTTGAAATTTTTAAAATTTGAATTTAATTAAATATTTCTAAGAATATTTAAAAATAAAATTGTAATCGCTAGGTGCGCTGTATAACTTGCCATAAAAAAACTGCCAAATATTTAATGCGGTCGCTAGCGACTATAAAACGCCAAATAGTGTAATACACGGTACTCGAAAGTACTTGTGTTTAAACAACCAATGATGCTTTGTTATTTTGGTAATTCTCTGTATAATCAAAACAACGAAACCCAATCGGCTGTTACACATCTCTTCCTTCCATTTTGGTGTATAATGGAAGCGGTATTATGCCGTGGAGCACTTGCAACTTGGTACGTTAAAATTATTAAAATGGTTGTCATCATTCTGCTAAATAACTGCTGCGGTCCGAGACCACTATTTGGGGATTCGAATGATGTAATTTTCGAACTATCTTTCTTACATGATTTCAATGAGTAAAATTGCAAAAATCGAGACCCGAACTTCTCAATTATCAAACATGTGGATGTTTATTTTTTATATATGTATTCAGAAATTCTGTGTACAGGGGAACGTTTTATTGTATTGAAAAGACATAAATGAGCATAATGCTTACGATTCTTAAGTATTGCAATACATTTGATATATACTCTTTGTTTTTCATGCTTCGTATTATAATTATAGATATAAAGTGATTTATTAAAAAATGCACCTATTTTTGTTGTTTACTATAGATTACGTAGGAGTCAAAATACATGTATACATACATCATCTCACGACTGGCTGTCCTATATTGAGGTAGAGACTAATGGACCTCCCGTGCTACTTTCCCGACATACATCTTTTACTTTCACCAATCGCCACTAATCTTTTCATGTATGCCCGTTTGTTCTAGGTACTTTATAGTCCTACTACCTTTATAGTCTGTTTCAATCCGTTGTACCAAAAAAAGTAAACAAACAGATCATTGGCCCGACCATAGACAGTTTAGTGATGGTCAACTGTACTGCCAACTACAAATCGATTAATTAATTGAATGAATCGATTTATTTAATCAGTCCAAATCAGTTGGTATAACTGGGTTTTGTAGAAATAACATGGGTTTTGCGATTGCGCTGCTGATTACTATAAAAAAATATGTCATTAAATACTGAGTGGTGATGATACTTCATAAATGAGATTAGACTTTTTTTGTTACAAAAGCAAATTTAAAATTTCCTTAGTCTAATTTTAAATCTTCCTTCAAACCCTTACCCTTAGATATTCATTTGATACCAGTTAAATTTTCGATTAACTAATAGATTACAAAAACTTTAATCGAATGAACCGAATGAGTTATTTCCGTACAGCCCTATGCAACCATAGACTATTCACAAGCCCATATTTGAAAAAAATTACCTCACTTTTGAACTAATATATTTCAAAGCGATTTTAATGTTACTCAAATGAACATTACTGGAAAAAGTGATGAGACATCAAGCAGAATTTTAACCAAATCGGTATGTTTACTTTTCTGGTATAATGTATTGGAACAGACTTTACATCCGCAATTTCCTAAGAAAACTGTCATTTATTAGCGACACATTGAAAGTTTCAGAATTAAATTTACCTGAAATTGTTACTCTATTGTACATAGACACACTACGGTATTTATTTCGTGAATGTGCACAAAACAACACTAATGCGAGTACATTACACAACCACATATGTTAATGGATTCACTATGTTACGCTCAACAATTTCAATTTATTCATTATTAAAATGAAATAACAATTAGATACGAACAAAATATTCTCATTACAATGTTGGATTAAATAATAACCGTGTTGTTAAACACAAAAAATAGGATACCTTTTTGTTTCATGAATAATTTATTTAACTTTACGTAATTATAATGAATGGTCTTGTTCTACGGATTAATCATGCTCGGGGAGGTAGCACTGCCCTATCTCTAACTAACATTTTTAAATTAATTACATATAAAGTAATGTATAATACGTAGATTTATTACTTTTATGTTGACATAGATTCAGTTAATTCCCTTTGTTTCGTTTATCACATGAAAGTTATAACGCGAACTGCATGAAAATGTGTATATCGCTCATGCACGCTAATATGGTAAGTTTTGTCACCCTAGGACTCTGCAGCGCCCACTGGGGGGCAGTAGGGACTAGTTTGAGAAACTATGGTTGAAGACTATATAGACTATAGTTAAGTTTAGTGCAAGTGGACATTAATCTTTAAGGCGCCGCGCAAACATGTCTTGTGATGGATACAAGCAACCGGCAACAGAAGCGGGAGTAGTACAAATCCGCATATGTCGTATTGGTAAAAGCGCGTATCTGCACCATACCAAATTTCACAGGAGAGGGATTTAACGTTATTACTTTGCTATTTCAATGGCTACGACTTCATTTTTGCACAGTAAGCATTAATTTATATTGTTTACGGGTTGATAACAATAGATTCCCGCAAATCACGCTAATTTGATTACTAAATTACCGAAATGGAGACTCATAATCAAATGCCAGTTACGCGTAATTTCACTAGCCCCGACGATATTCAATTTTCATACGGTTGCCTCAACCGATGACTGTGTCGATTTCATATCAATTGTAAGAAAACAGGATATTCGCTTCTAGTTGCTGGTTGCTTGTATCCAACATAAAGACGTTTGCGCGGCGCCTAAGCTTAAATGTTTCATTATTTAATGTAGCGACTTCTATGCGGTATATCACAAATTAACGACGCAAAACAGCATTGCTGTTTTCCAGATTGAATGGGAGAGATCCAGTGCAATCACACTAGTAAATCAAGTGCTCCACGACTTGTAATGCATTTGTGATATTAAAGGCGCTTTCATGGAATCGCAATTCTCTGTAAACTGCTATTACCATTTTACACAAGGTGATTTCAGCTGGACCGTGAAATTATAATAGTAACCATAGAGAATAGTTTCGACGTAGCAAAATAAAAGAAGCATAAATGCGAGGCATAATGGGACAATGGCGTAAACAATAGTCATGACATGACACGTGTAGTATAAAAAGTACCAAATCGGAGTAACGCCCTGCTTACTCATCTCTCAGACACTGAACTTTATATATCTTATATATTTTTAGATATTTTAATTTGACCTCTGACAGTATAATTGTAAGTCAATGTCTGACAGCGACAATTATTAATTATGTGAGAAACAGATCGGTATTTTATCATTTTTTTGGTCCAAATTTTAATTTGACTACAGATAAGTTTATCGAAAAAAAAAATGCTAGAAAAGTCTACTCTTGTTTTTTATCCAACGTCTGTCGGAAACAATTACTGTCAAATAAGCAATACTCGACCCAATCAAAAGAAGCATGATGCGAATGAAGGTTCATAATAGACATTGTCTTTTAATGTAATTTTGATAAAAGGTGGTCGAGTATTACTTATTTGCATCGAGTATATAACCAGAAATAGAGATGAAATAAGGGCTGTACATTCCTGGTAACACATTAGCGATACAGCTCTTATAAGTATCAACTCTCGTTTGCACTGAAATATAGACAGGCCAACTACTGACCTGTGTGTGTGTTATTGTAATAAAGATAAATATCTCTTGCAATGGCATGGCGTGCTGTTCCATACAGTGGTGTAGGAAAAACAGCAAAACATCTAATTACAAAACAAACGGAATCACATTTCATCGGTAATTAAATATGTAATTTTGCAATTTTCGTCTATTATAGTATAGTTCAAGTTAACTGGTCGATTTGAAGTGAAACAGTTGACGATACCCATTGACGACTCCCGTCAATTGTTTCGAACTCGGGCTAGCCAATCGAAGCGCAGTTGTCACGGTAATGATATGGCAGAATAGTTTTCAAACAAATTAAATGACATTTCGTCTCTATTTCTGGTTATATACTCGATGCTTATTTGACAGTTATCGTTTCGGACGGAGTGTGAAAGCATTACAACATCTGGATTGAAGTTTTTAATTAATTCTCACACCATCAAGGCTGAGTTTTATAAAACGAGCTTTGAGTTTACTTCATAATTTCTTTTCTTTTAAACTTAAGTTCGTTTTTTAAATAAGAAAAACTTGCTCAGCTCGTCATTTTAGTTTAGTCGAAGTTCAAAGTCCTTAGTCTGATTGTGAAAACCCTACAATGAATGGTATGCAATATGAGACGTCTAAGGTTGTCACAGTTCACCATAAACTGGACGTAGTAATGTAGAGATAGACCTTGAAAACAGACGGCCGAAAACCTATTTGAAATAAAAAATGCTAATGAACTTTGATATGGTAAAAAATTTGAGTATTTTTTGTTAAATATGGCGTCATAACATATTGTCCGTCTTATTATTACGATATTTAAGTAAGATTTTAAAGAAATAACATTATTACAATAGCGTCAGGGAACATTTATGCAAATTTAATTGATTTTGAGAAGAATAGCACACAATTTTTTCATGAAAAATAGTGACAGACAACATTAATATGAAGAATAAAAATAAACAGCTGTTTTCACAAAGTTACAAACTCGTTTAAGGGGCAATGTATGCGCTTCTATAATAAGATTCTGGTTGATATTCAAAATATGCCATTTACGAAGTTTAAAAGTATATCGAAAAAAAAAACTCCACAAAGGTTTGTGCGTACTTAGATGACAAAAATCCATGGTATAGTGACCCGTTTAGCTCTTGCAGGTTGTCTCGATCTATGATATTTGAAATAAACACCTAGACTAGAGCTTCTAACTCATTCTTCTCAGCGAACTTACGAATGAGTAGTAGAGTTCCAGTGAACATTTGTGGAGAATGTCCGCTTTTGAGCAGCTTTCAAAAGCGGACAATCTCTACAAATTTTACATATGAATAGAACTCATTGTTACGAGATTGGGACTAATTCAAAATGTGTAAAGCTAAATGGAAAATCAGTCGTTAGTCTGATTTGGTTCATTTTTATACTACGTAAAATTACAATAGACAACTTTAAAAGTTTTTATATAATAAAAAAAAATCACAGACACAACATGGCACTCACACGTAAAGATATATACATACCTGTAAAGCAAAATCCTTAATTTGCCATTTTAACACTTATTGTTGTAATTATTTAAATTTCATATTAAGCAGATAAAGAAGTAGTCGTGGTACTATTTTCTAGAGTCCAAGCTTCATTGCATTATTAAACTGTTTCTTTCTAACATCAGCCAGTACCATTGATCATACGAGGGGCAGTTCGCGGCCTAAGGTACTTAAACATAACCTACCGTCTTATTAGTGATACTACTTATTGTGAGGTTCAATGGGAGTTAAAATTACCCACTTTTAATTTTTTAAAGTCATATTTGAATATTTCGTGGTGGATCTGCAAATTATCGCAATTTGGAACAGCGCGCCGTAATAAGGTACCTTGTTAAAAAAGGAAAAATGTCGAAAGACATTTTTGAAGACGTGTCATCGGTTCTTCAGGATTCTGGGCCTTCCTGCACGATGGTTAAAATTCTATTCTATTTTTTTCTAATTCTATTTAAAATGGGTTCGTTTATTTCGGCAAGGACGAGAAAGCTGCAAAGATGACCTCCGCCCGGGATTTCCAATAACGGTAATGACAGAAGAAAATGTTAAAAAAGTCGCGAAAATTGTACTGGCCGATCGAAGAGTTAAATTGTGGCAGATAGCGGAAGAGTTGCAAATCAGCAAAGAAAGGATTGGCGAAATTTTACACCAACATTTGAATTTGAAAAAAAAAAAATTGTGCGCGTTGGGTACCAAAAATGCTCACGTCATTCGACAAGGAACGACAAGACGAGTTGCATGGAATTTTTGGAATTAGTCGGCGAAAATCTCGACGCCGTTTGTGATCCTATCATGACCGTTGATGAAACATGGATTCGTCAGTATGACCCGGAGTCCAAACAAGAATCTATGCAATGAATTAAAAAAGGAGAAAGGGTGCCTAAGAAATTCAAAGTGGAAAAGTCGGCGTCGGTCTTCTGGGATAGCGAAGGCATTTTGCTAATCGATTACCTGCCTAAGGGAACTACGATGAATGGCCAGTATTATGCAAATTTATTGGCTCGGGCTCGTGTGAGGCTATTGTCCAGAAGAGACGCGGGAAGCTAGGGCGTGGAGTGCTCTTTTTGGAGGACAACGCGCCCGTGCATACGGCGTGCATTTCAAGGCAGGCCTTAAAAGACACTGGCTTCTCAGATATAAGTCTTCCTTCCTACAGGCCAGACCTAGCTCCTAGTGACTTTTTCCAATTTAAAAAAAGACTTACGGGACGGAGATTTTCAGATGACAATGAAATGATAGCCGCCGTAAATCGTCATTTTGAAGACAAAGATAAGAAATATTTTTTTGGTGGTTTAAAGACATTATACGCCAAATGTGAGAAGTGCATATCACTTTAGGGAGATTATATTGAGAAAAAAAATACAATTTTAACCATTATTTTTTTAAGTGCCTTAAGCCGCGAACGTATCAGCCGCCACTCGTACATATATACTAGTATATAATATATACATAATTAGTAAGTATATAATATGTACATCAAATTATATTAAATATAATTAGTAAGAATGCCTTCAGCGTCGTATGAAAAACACACTTTTATAGATACCCTATTATCATATACATCTTTATATAGAATAAATATATAGTGCTAAATTTGAATGCGATACTTTTATTATAATACACTGGACGTTTACGTGGTCATAGGAGTAACACTTTCACTACTTTCTCAGTCTGAATCCCTTTACATATTACGTACTTTTTGAAGTACACGTGTCTTTAAGAAGTTATGTACTCTTTACTGTAAATCTATCAGAGTTAAATTAAAAGATTTTATTTTAAAGATTTGTAAATATCAACAAACGAGACAATGTCACATATGTTGCTCTGATCCCAAAGTAAGTCGTAAATTGGAAACAACGACGTACCACAAACACCCAAATCCAAGACAATATTGTCGGTGTTTTGTAGAAAAGGTGAAAGCGCTATTTCGAAAGTTTTTTCATGGGATCATGTTTTAGGTTTTGACGACTGTTTTAAAATATTTACGCACTGTTTTAAAATTCAATTTTGCTTTTAGTTATGTTTAAGATTGAAAATTGAATTTAAAACAGAAAGTAAATAATTTAAAACAGTCGAGAAAAACTAAAACATGCTATGTTGAAAAAAAATTCGTAATGGCGCCTTCGCCCTTTCTACAAAACAATTGTAGAAAAGTTATTCAACATCGGCCCGGCCGGGGATGGAAATGGGACCTCGGAGATGGCGACGTGAGGTCGTCATAGATTCCCAATAACAATGTGACAGGACAAACCATTTACCTGGTGTCGAACTAGGGAATTACCTGTGCCATGAGTACCAGAGCAATGGAATTCACTCTAGGGCAATACCCAATGAATAATAATTAATAACCCAAGGCATCATAAAAAAAATATTCAGGTGTTTTCGTGGTTGATGGTGGCAACTTTAGGAGACTGAAACGACAACACGTATTCAATGACTAGGAGAGGCTGAAACAGTGGTTACCTCGCTCTCAAACGCCAACAATCACTCAAACACTGTAATTATAGTCTGCCGACTGATTGTACATAAATAATAATAAAAAAGGTGTTTTCGTAGCACTAGAATGAGTCGAAGCTTGGGCTTTAGAAAATAATACAATATATTTATCATACCATTTTAAGATCCCTTGGACCTTGAGAAGATTACAGTCTGATTTCGTCATCTTTACCTTTCATAGGAAACCTTATCTAAGTATACATCAACTTCATATAATGAAACAACCGTAAATGCAAGCGACAAATTGAAAGAATTAGTTTTTTTTTCTGTAGGCACCAGTTGTTGTTGCTTATGGGTACCCATAACAGATGCAGTGCCACTTAGAGCTTTGTAAAGATCTGAGGGGCACTGCCACTACCCCCGTCACCTTGATATATAAAATTGACAAATCCTATGTACCTGTAACGTCACCAGCACCCTTATCCTTCAAAAGCGACGCGCAGAGCATTACTGCTTGACGTCAGAAATACATAAGGTGGTAGTACTTCCCTGGACGAAGTCTTACACAAGGATTTTTACTTCTGCTGATTGTTCTGTTATTTAGCGATTATTTTATATTTTAATAAAGACGCTTATAATTCAAATTCAGTGCCTAAGTACCTTTTGTAGTCATGTTAAGTACTGCCACTTAACCTATTTCTGCCGCCAAGCAATAATGTGAGCATTTGAAGGGTAAGGGTGCTGGTAAAATTACAGGCATATGGGACTTGTCAACTTATGTCTCAGGGTGACGGGCGCAGAGGCAGTGCCCTTCAGATCTTTGCGATTCAAAGCTCCGAGTGGCACTGCAACTGCGACGGACAAAAGTGTCGCTTACCACCAGACGCACGACTTGTTCGTCCAGTCACTAGGTATCATAAAAAAGTCAGTCGGTATGCTTAGATAACATTGCCCTTGGAAAGTGAAGGTGCCACAATGATTAGACAGCAATAAACGACAGCGTGACATACCAGTCCGCGGCAGGTGGTAGTTCTTGGGCGGGCGGCCGCGCTTGCGCTTGAGCAGCAGCTGGTGGCCCGAGGGCGCCAGCTGCAGCTGTGCGCCGGCGCCCGACACGGCGCCGCTCGTAAGCACGCAGCCTTCCATGTCTGAAGGACCGACGTACAAACACATGTACTCTTTATTGCACACAACAAAATATAAACGAAAATTTAAAAAAGAGCCCAAACACGATAGTTGAGGAGTAAGTAAGAGGAGTTACTTGCAGCAATAGATCGAGGTTGCCATAATATTGTAAAATGTCATCGTATTTCTATTGTATACTAAGTTTCAAGTCGATCGGACAATTCTAAATAAAGTTAATGCCGTCGACTAAATTTGAAAGCCTCGCAACGTAACATCGTTTTTGGATTAAAACCCTGTTTTTGCTCTTCAAGTGCAATATCGAGCAATTAAAACTTAAAATATAGTTTGTAGACCCTTTTTTACGCCTTCGGACCGGTTATACCATTGAATTTACCATTAATCCCATGGTGTAACTGCGATAAACTAGTACCATTACAGGTATAAATGGGACAGGTAAGTACCAGTTATACCATTATTTATAATCAAGTGGTGCAACTGGGATAAACTAGTGCCACCTATACCATTACAGGTATAAATAGGACAGGTAAGTACCATTTATACTATTACAGGTATAAATGGGACAGGTTAGCACCACTTATAACATAAGTGGTATAATTCAATGCTACAACTGGTACGAAGGCTTTTTACTTATAAAACAAAGGTATAATCTTAGATTGTCATATAATTATTTCTAATAATTCTGTTATTTGTGCCTACTCAAAAGGACACATTTCTGTTTGCGAATTTAGCCGACGAATTCTGTATTTTATGCATAGAGATCACACCAATTGAGAAAACGGCTGATTATCCGATGTTCATAAATATATTTAGAATAATTCCGATTAAATTATCCTTCAAATAAAAAAAGCAACACAAACAAAGGCTTCAAACATATAACCCTTCTTTTTACGTCGAGGGTTAAAAATACAAGGACGGACAACTGACAAAACGCATGGTGAAAAAAACGGACTTATTGTTGAATAACAATCACTTCCAAGCTACCTTGAAGTGACAGAACAAAGTTAAAAATATTAATATGCTGAGAGTATGACAAACACTATTTACATACCAAGTTAACACTTACATACGTAAATAAAGTTGCAAAAATCCACTAACACCACAAACAGCACACAAGTATAGTATAATATGTTTAGAGTATATGCCGTTTGTGCTATTAGTTAAGGTACAATATAACTTGTTATGTGTACTGTGTACTTATGTAGTAATTATTATTATTATTATTTTTGTATCAAGGTTTAATTGGTTTGTATTGCATATAACTATTTTTTAATGATTTATTTTTCAGTAGTTTATTAGAAATGCATCACCACTTCTCAGTATTTTTGTAGTAATTACTAGTTAATGGTGTAGATGACACAATCATTACATATTTACTGTAAAAAAAAAATTGTTATAAGTTTCAATTGTGTCTACTATTTGTTGACCCAAATAAATAAATAAAAAGTAAAGGTGTACCCAACACAGAAGAAATGTCAAATGCTTTACATTTTGGATAACCATAAATGACCTATAGAAATTGAAATAGCAAATGGGTTTTGAAATGTATTAATTAAAACCTTAAGGTTGCTTTTCGTCGAAGTCGAAAGAAAATCTTTCGGTCGAAGAAAATGTAACGTGTTATACCAAACTTAATAGACATTTTCAGAGAAGTGAAGCTAGAGCAAACACTTACCCAAGGAAGTCTTCGGCGGGCGTCCCCTCTTCTTCTTGATCTTCGGAGTCATAGGCAATGGAGTCTTCCTCGGTCTCCCACGGCCTCTTCTAGGTGGCTCTACCAGGTCTCCTTGATTTATCTCATTCCTTACAGGCTCAAGAGTAGAGTTTAACACAACAGGGTTTCTTGGCGGCAGCATCACGTCACCACTGGGCGTGAATACGAGGTGACCGGATTCGCGGTGTGTTGTACGCACCATGCCAGACATTACCTCTGAGTTGTTCTCGCGCTTCGTGGAGGTTTCATTCATATCCACTGTTGGGTCTTCCTGTTATTTGAAAATTATTTTTGATTATTATAATCAGAGGTCGGAATAGGCAAAGTATATTTACCTAAACTCCAAGTAATACGTATAGAGTGGTAAATACCTCCCTCTGAAACCACGGAATGATTTAAGGGAAAAAATTAAAACAAAATAGTCATATTTTAACTTACAATTATCTTTCATTTGCTATATGCATGCTACCGTATATTGCTAGCTACATACAAAAAAAAGTATAATACTACAATTACGGATTTCAATGGGCGGTATTATTCACTCTATGTTTATGAATGCCATTCAATTTAGACAAATATACTTCGTCTCCCTCTCTGATAATAACTAACAAAATAATGTGTAAAACATCATGATAATCACCTGATTAAGGAATTCCCTACACTATGTATACCGAGTTCTGAAATGACGGCACTACCCGGAATAGAACCAATACAATAATGAGTTAATGGAATAAAATCTTCAGACTGTTACACAGGATCAGTGTACAGCTGTGTTTTTTCAATTCTTGACCACAATCACATTTGATGATGAGTGACGATTTGGTAGAGGAAGGAACACGCTTACAGGTGTCTACACTCTCTCATTGAAAAAGCTTATGTCATAATTGAGGCTATCAGCACAAAAATGGTGTAACCCACATCCAATTTATTTTCTACAATATTTAATTTCATGTATTTACTTTAGTTATAAAGACATATTTCATTATAATAAAATATATATATATTTTTTATTACTTATTATGTATTGTACTTTGGTATAATTTAAAGCAATATTATAGAAAAAAAATTGAATGTGCGTTACACCGTTTTTACGCTGATAGCGTCAATCGTCAGTTACGCCACGCCTATTAGTGTTAAGGAAAGTGGTGGTATGTCCTACTTTTTCGCAGATCTTGGTATGCACTCGCAGCTTGTCAGATCGGGCGAAGGATCGTCCGCAGCCGCCGCAGGTAAAGGGCCTTTCGCCGGTGTGTGTTAAGCGGTGCCGACTCAGGTGAGATGAGCGTTGGAACCTGTGTAGTAGAATAGAATCAATTAAGGTTTACTAGAAAACTTATAAGGACACCTGCGAGCGTACTCCACATAAACAAAGTCTTATATTATTCCAGCAATGACTGCAATGAACGAATGAACGAAATATTCTTCATTTTACATACAATTACAGTGACAGTACAAAACAGTAACTTAAGTACAAAATAGTAAGTCAATAAGCAAAAGACGGTCTTATTGCTATTTAGTAATTTCTTCCAGGCAACCTTAGGATAGACATTTTGGGAATAATATCAACATGATAATCGATGATCTTTTTTTTCGTACTATATTTTCCACTCTTAAACTGGAAAAGACAACGGCACTTGTGTACCCTACAGCCTAGACTAAGAGTAATTTCTTCTTAGAGTTTCATTACAAGTTTACAAATCTCGACAGTACGACAGTGCTTACAAAAAGAAATAAAACTGCACGACATTCTTGATTTTTAAAAAGTGTAAAGAGCGCCGGATATATTGGTTTTGTACAGTTGAAGAAGGTTTGTCTAAGAGGATTATTCTAGGGGCAGAGGTAGCCCACATCCACATCGAAAAGCATTCGAATAATTCATAAATAATCTAATAATTGGTTGGAGTAGTTACAGCAATGATCTTATATACGTAAAAAAAGGATTATTGACTAACAGTGAGTGCATAATGGAGAGAACATGTGTGCTATATATTGTATTTTTATTGGTTTTTCGCGGTTGATGTTTTAGGTATTCCATATTTTTAGTACAAAGTCCTTTAAAAATATTTAATGACATTGGATTCAAGTCCTTTAGTCGAATTATTAAAGATAAAAAATATAGATTTTTTTCTATAGTATTAACGGTGAATTTTAATACAGGAATAAAATTAACTGCATACGATAGTAAATCTACATCGATACTAGAGGTGGGAAGGGCACGAAATCGATATATCGATATAATCGATATCGAAATATTCTTTTATTTATTTAAGCTCGAATATGAGCACCCTTCAAAACTGGAACGCTATCTGCGTTTCAGTTTGGTTCGAATTACTATTTGGCGGCAGAAATAGGTAAGGTGGCATTACTTCCCTGTACGAGCACAATGAGTTCTTTCTATGGCTACTACTTATTGCTACTCTCACTCTTTCTTTGTCTATCTTTCAAGTCCTTCATATTCTCTTTATTCTTCACTCCTTTCTGGAGGGATCTTGTTTAATATATAATTGTGACATTTCACTTATAAAGGAAACAATTGATTGCTCCAATGCCCAAAGATAAGAAAATAAATTATTTTTTGGATGAAACTTGTCAATTTCATGCTGACGGGTGCAGTGGCAATGCCTTTTGTGACGTAAGTAAAGCTCTTAGTCAACTTCAACTGTCATGGATAGGCGTGTTGCTCACCAACAGTAGAACGACTAGTCACGTTGTATGATATTATAAAAAAAAAATGATTAACCTGAGATCACAAACATCGCAGACGTGTGGACGTCCTTCGTGCGAGTCATTGGCAGCTGAGTCAGAGATGGAGCCACTCGAGTCTGTTTCTTCGTCGTCATCTATGTTGCTTTTGTTTGGTTTCTCTGTAAAATTGACGTTACTTTTAATAAAAGTTTTAAATTGGTTCTTCTATGAATATACTGGGTTGTGCCCTGACAGTTAAGAGTCTATACTATCTCAAATGGCTTTGGTTGATTTCGCATAACAGTCAAAAGTGTTGAATCAATCAGTTTGGAAAAAATAAATAGTAAAATTGAGGATATTCACTGATTACTACACGGTGTGAAAACACGAGTCCTAAAAATCATCACGATTCGTAGTATGGACTCTAAACTTCGTTGCTCTGATATTCATTCCGTAGTTTGAGGCCAGGTAATTGGTATCTGGCACATTATTATGGTATGACAATCTTAAATAATACAAACCGTCGGAGTCGTCGTTGTCATTGTTGGTTGGCTTCTGCAACATGGAGAGCTGTACAACTTTGATGCCGCCATGTCTGTCGCTCTCTACCTTGAATTCATTGGATGCTGCACCTGGAAATATCATTGTCACATAAATATCACAGAATATTGTACAAGTCGAATCTATGAAGAGATTTGTTAGGCTCAGCTGTTAGCATTTTGGATTACACTTAAGGTGGTCGCGTTACGAAATACATTTTTCATAAATTGGTTGGGCCTGGGTGTTACACCTAGCTGATTTCGTTGCTCTGGCACTTGTAGTAAAAGTATAAAAGAATTTACACTAAGGCTCAATTTCTATTGCGGCGGAACGGAAGCGAATATTGTAGCCAAAATCTTCCGCAGAAAATATTGGCTCGAATCTAGTTTGTACGTTACACAATTGACCATAAAGTTCATTATGCAATGTACAACATCGTAACAAAAATTCGCTTCCATTCCCTTCAGCGGTAATATAAATTGAGCCTAATGCGACAAATAAACGGCATCTACTTCCACGTGTAAAGTACCTAGTTGTTGAATTATTTTAATTAGTATTATTGTGACTCAGACATCATTCTTTTTATTAATTTTGTTATTTTATATTGTTTGAAAAAGCGCACTGCGTACATTTTTAACATTAATGTAATTATTCTTTATGATAAGTTTTTGTTGTTTTAAAATTTAAACACGGATTTTTTGTTATACTTATCTATTCCGTTTTATCAAATCTCCTCTCAGGCTCCAGTAGAAAATCAGCGCTGTGGCTCTAGCCTTTTCGGCTATTGTGTTTTGTATTTTATTTTATATCATTTCATTTCTTTTTTATTTTAATTTAGATTCGTTTGTTTTATTTGTACTTAATAGCGGAATAAATGTTTCTTCCTTTCTAATACAGGAAATTCCCTAGTTTCGAAGGAGCAATTGGTATAATTGTATCTTGGACATTTGGAGTTGCGATGCAGTTGTATGCAGTCAAAGTGAGTGCACATACATTAGTTGAACGCGTAAAGGATGATACAGCTCTTTTTAACGTCATTCGATGCTCAATATATATCAATATATATAATTTTATATTTTAAAATAATTTGTAACAGATATTCAATTTGTTTGAACCACAGACCATATAAGTTTGAACAAATAAACACGCGTTATACAGAAAATAGCACGCAAATACTAGACAGTTATCGTAAGCCATAATAGTTTTTTTTTGGCAATGGTATTCAAACGTTTAATACTATAGTCTTGTGTGTGCAGATGGTTGATGTTTATTGAGGAATAAAATAATACCCGGTTTTATCTGTTAACTCACATCCGCTTTTTCATTATTTTAAAAGATACAGTCAAATATAAAATGGAACTATTTTGAAAACAAAGGCCAAAAAAGGATTAAACGGCAAATAATGGTACGGTGCAAGTCGCCAACAACGCTATTGAGGTTAGAGAGCCGCTAAGGCTTGGACCGCTCAGAAAAAGCTGTATGTTTATGTAATAAGATTACTTATTGCATGGACATGAAGCTTTTTCGGACAGACTCAAGCCGATTCCTCGTTAATAAGCGCAGTGACTCCCTAATGAGTATCATTCAAGCCGGATTTACATTTGTTTGACGTGTCGTGTCGTGATGTGTCAAAACGATATCGGTTTCATACATAAGTCCACGGTCCCCGGAGGCCATATAATGTGGTTAGATTATATTAGTGTGTCGCAATCTGACGTGACGGTTTGTGATGTGTGTATGAAACCGATACCGTTCTGACGCGTCACGACACGATACTTCACAAAAATGTAAATCGGGCTTTATTCAATAAGAATATGTTTCAAGTACATGCGTCTATTTTGAACGCAGCTAAACAGTTTTTAACCAATTGTGAGTGTAACGTTGTTTGCTTATGCATTACTTAACAAGTTTTCAATTGTTTATTGTCTTTACGTAGGACGTAGTATAATATTGAACTTAATTAAGACTAACGACGACTCATTTTTAAATCAAATATATTCCGTCTCCTAACCGGAATTTCGTTATAATAGCTTTCCCTACTATGTAATTTATTTGCGACAACATAATAATATTTATAATTAAATAACAAAATATAATAAAACAAATTATATGATAATACAATACAGTTACACTATAATTATAAATAAATTATCATAACAATAAAATAAAATAAATAATTAAATTATTATACCAAAATGTCACGCACCAATATAGACTGTAAATCAAAACAATAAGGTATACAATTCATATACTATATAGTTACATTACAATATGTTGAGAGCTCGTGTTTGAAGCGATTGTGCACGTGAAAGGAAATTATAGTAAATTATTGTCTTGTCTACATCTATTGTTGCCTGTGAAACTCCGCATTTAGATTTAATGCCGTGCATTTTATGCACCATTCCTGTGCATTACTTTGCTTCCTATGTATTTAGATACGGTATAATTTTGCGGATGTTGTTCTGACGTATTGTTTAGTAGAACCATAGAACGTCATGGCGATTCATAATTCTAACTTTTGTTTAAAAAAAACCGACCTGGCTAGTTTGAGGAATTACATCTATTACCCAAGTTTTATAAGTGAGTGAAAGCCAATAAAACTGGATTCGTCCCTAACATGCCAGCCTTAGAGGGGGAACATTTTCTTCAAATTTGAATGAGACTACTGAGGGTTACCTATGAGAAGTCCGAAAGGACATTTTCCAAAAATAACGTTTGGTCCAAATTTCGTAACCTCGAAAGTAATTTTGAGAGGAAAATGTTTTTTTTTCTTTATTGATATTATTTCTTTTCTTTAGTCATGTCTTTGCGATAAACACTCAACATATCCTGAAAGAACAACTGTGTCGTTATAATTCGGTTTTCGGTGTAATGAAAATTCGAACAAACGTTATTTCGGACAAAAAAGTTGAGTTTGTGATAGGTTACCCTACTGAGGTATCCCGTTTCCAACAAAAAAAAAATAGAAGTAAGTTCACCAGTGTCAGTTCAAGTAATCACGTAACATAAAAAATGCAGTCGAATTGAACTTCCTCCTTTGGTTTGAAGTCGGTTACAAAGTAAATATAATATTATATAAATAAATAAATATAGAGTCGTTAGATTTTCGCGATTGTTCCACTATTGCAACTACCGTCAGCCATGACCATGGGCCATGATCTGTAAAAAGTCCGAAAAAAAACAAATATACGCGAAGCTGGGGGTCTACTCTCGATCTCCGTCCGACATCCGTCCGAAACAATTACTGGCAAATAAGTAATATTCGACAAAATTAAAAGACAAGTATCAAGAATGAAGCTTCATTCACATCACGCGTCTTTTCATTTGGTCAAGTATTGCTATTTGGCAGTAATAGTTTCGGACGGATGTCGGACGGAGATCGAGAGTAGACCCCCAGAACTGAAAAGTTTAATTTCCAAATAAATAAATAAATATTAGACAACATCGCATACGTTGCTCTGATCCTAAAAGCACTTAAGTTAATGGAAATTGGAAACAACGACGGTACCACAAACATCCAAACCAGAAACATTACAGTAAACTTAGTTTTCTACACTAAGCCAGCCGACGAACGAACCCGGGACATGTGTGCAAGCCACTCCACTGAGGTTAAAAAGTGTCATATTTTTTCTTTATATTACTACAGATATGCTTTTGTCTTCCGTAATGTCATCTGATGGTGTTTACCAAGTAGATAGAAATGTTATGCAACTGTATATAACACGCACACGTTGTTGTTTGCACGCACGTTTCCACCAAGGCGTTGGTAAAAATATTATGTAAGATACTCAACAGAATGCAGAATTATAAAAAATAAAACGCTGTAAACGTATTTTCGTACTATATACGTAATAATACTGATAATTTTCTATTATTAATATCGCGGTATCTAAAATGACGGGTAATTCCTAAAACTGTGTTGTATAGCGCCTATGCAAATAGCTATACAAATTGCATTGAACAGTTCAAAATACTGCAATAAAAAACAATCAACGGTTGAAAGGTAAAAGAGGGTAAGTCACACTTAGGTTGACGAGTTATACCAAGGTAGTAAAATTTGTTGTAGTTTGAAACCAATACCGCCATTAAACGAAAATGTCAACTCTCGGGAAATGAACTTTAAAGTTTCTGACAATAAGTTTAAATTTAAAAAAGCGAGATATTCATTTAGTGATTGTATTGGTTTCAATGTACGATATGCATATTAATGGTTATTTGTGTCATTGTAATTTATTAGGTGCTTAAACGTGTTAGTTTTAAGTTATTATTGTCATATAACATATATATTTTATTTCATGATATCATGCGACGGGCCGAAGGAGTCGTACGCCTGGTGGTAAGCGACACAGCTATCCATGACAGTTGCAATGCCACTCAGAGCTTTAAATCGCAAAAAAATCCAGCAATATAAGTTGACAAGTCCTACACCCCACACACAACCGCTTGGCGGCAGAAATAGGTAAGGCTTACCTATTTCTGCCCCTGAGAAGTAATGTAAGCATTATTGCGTTTCGGTTTTGAAGGGTAAGGAAGTTGGTGAAATTACAGGCACATGGAACTTGTCAATTTATGTCTCAATGTGACGGGCGCAATGGCAGTGCCCCTGAGATCTTTGTAGTTTAAAACTAAAGCGGCACTGCAACTGTTATGTGTAGCTTTTTTTAATTATTTATTTAGGACATTCAACAAGTCATACACATACATAAATACAATTATGATTATACAATTCAAATGGAGTAGCGCCAAAGTGTTGACTCAATTTAAGGTTGCCACAACATGCAAAAGTCAAACACAAATAATTATTTAATAAATACTTTTAATTTTTATAACATGTAGTACAGGGTCAAGAGCACGTCAAGCTTTACACTTAAGACTTAAATCCAACTCCATGCCGCTTATGATAAGAACGGTCCGAAATACAAAGTGTTAAGCTTGATGTGCTCTTGACTGTACAATATATATTTTAGATAGTAAATATAGAAAGATATGAAACGTAATAAGTACCAGGATCTCGGCCGACTACCTATTTACAGTCTTTGGAGTCTAAACCCTTGGTCCGTGGGATCCCAGTGCCCTTCATCTGTATAAAATT